TATAATTTTATGTATCTAATTAAATTACGAGCGCCTGAAAAGATTTAATGAATTAGAGCTTTAGAGAATAAAAAAGCTGTTTAAATATGTATATGCAGCATATTGCGCAACCCAAACTTTGTTAAAAATCTTAGAACATTATTGAAATTAGCACGTTTTTTTTTTATTCTTTTAGTATATAAAATGCGGAATTTTTTGTATTTTTATGTAGAATGAATTGTTGCACCAGGAAAAGTGCTACTGAAACTGTATAGTTGTTTTATTTATATCAATAAAAAAAAATATCATATTTAACTATATGGATTTCTATGAGATAATCGGGTCAAAGGGTCGTGATTAAGGTGAGAAAGCTCTTATCGCCTTATCGGTACGAAAGTATCCAGAAGTCACATTCCGAGAATTCCGTCTTTTGACCTCGTAAAAGTAATATCCCCGTCTTGAGGATTCGTTTCTTGATGTTTCGCACGAAAAGCCTTTTATTAGAATTGTGTTCTAGAAATTCGCATTTTTATGCCGAATCATCAATAGAACCGTATTGTTAGATGTTCTATTGTTGTACATTACTTTGCATTACTTTGCAAAAACCGATTCTTCGACTAATTTTTTATTTTTCTTTAGTGAAAATGTCAAGGAAGATTGCTATCTATATAATATATATAATGACGGTTTGGACTTCTTTAACATTACTTATCTCCGCAATAAGCTTCACATTAAAAAACCCATTAACTTACATTCTGCAAATTTTCACGCAATGAGTTAACTTTGCGTGCCATGAGTTTATGATAAATATGTATCGTATATTTCGTATACTATATTTTTTATACATGTACATTAAAGAGATATTCTAGAGTTATATGATATGATACATTTATTATATTTTTTAAATAAAAATATATGATGTATAATACATTTTTGTATTGAGAAATACAGATAATACGATAATGATTCCTTTTGAGAACTTATTTTTGAGATTCTTAATATTTAAAAAAGATAAAAAAGTTAATTTTTTAAATTTCTTAACTACTATCCTTTTAAGAGAGATGTAACACACTATATAAAGTTTTATCGTTATTATCAATTGAATTGGTATGTGGAATCAATCAATTTATAAAATCAATCAGATTAGCACTTCAAACACAAAGAGTTAAGTCTTTTAATGATAGTACGTGAACATTAATACGATATTATTTCTTCAAAAGATTATATATATTTGTGAGATTTTGTAATATTGTATATCTATTTTTTGAGAATTTTAGTTTAAATTATATTCTGACGTTGTGTGTACCCCTGATTGATCGAGCAATATGTTACAATAGTACAATTGTGTAATCACACTAATCTCGCAAATGCTCCAGGCTTTAATGAGTGCAGACTATCATGTTCTGTATCGTCAAACTGTAATTTGTTCAATAAACGTGGGCGATACTTAGCCTTACCGTGCCGAGCTCGAGTTGTTGGACAGAGGTGTCGGGCACAGCCGTTACCTTTCCCATGAAATCACATATCATGTTAAGCACGGTCCTTGATGTTAAACATTTATGTCACGGGTGGATACATCATCCTAACGTCGCGTGGTATAGCCGGTTCGCCAATCGAAAGCAATGCGTTATATTTCACCGATGCACGGTGCAGCATAGCGCGATTCTATTAAAATGCGTCTGGTTGTGTTTGACGAGAGTTCGCGCCTGGACGAAACGCTGCACCGCGCCGCAGTGATATGTTTTCGGAGACGCCAAGCGACGTGCACGAGGCGCAGGTAAAAGAAGAGACTCGTCATAATGACGCTAAGTAAGAAAATTAAAATATTTTTCTTCACCTGAGGATTACCTCAGATTACCTACGTGTTGTTACGCAAGTTGTTCCAATTGTTATTTCTTTGCAGTGTAAGCGAAAGGACAAATGGGTCATAAAAATTATATAGAGGAATAAAAATTTTTTCTCTCAGTGTGACCGATGTATACATCTCATTTGGTTGATCATTACCTTGATTGCACAAAACATAGACCCCTGAAATACACAGATGGTTTTGCTGAAATACGTATTTAAACAAATTTAACTGGATACAAATCTGAAAATAAATTTATTAAATCATCGAAACAATTATGTGGGATGCTGGAACTAATTGCGACAATATCAAAACTTTTTCCAGCATTGATCATCATGTTTGAGATTCTATTAATTATTTTGAGATTTATCTAATCATTATATTTTAAGAGTTTAACAAAATTATTTTCAAATTTTTGTATCCGGCTTTAGATAGCTCAGCAAAATCGTTCTTTCCGTGTACTCGTTCAGTAGATAATTTTGTAATTTATATGGCTCTGACTTTTGCATAATGCATAAGGCATAAAAAAATCAATTAATGAGAATACAAAATGGAAGACTAATTATTTTTCTTATGCCTTATACGTAATGCAGTATTGTTAGATTGTCAAAGGTTCAATGGCAACTTAATCTTTTGACATTTGTTTTTTAAACTTTGTTATTTTTAACTTTTATGTATGTTTAAATGTAAATTATGTTATTTCTGTGTTTCATTTCAAAGTTAACAGCATCCATATTATTGTATGTACTTAATAAATAATAAATTAAGGAGTCAAATTTAATATATGTTTTCTTAAGTTATAAATTGTTCAATTTTATTGCTTTAAGTTAAAATAAAAAAGTTACTGCGCGACGACATAACAATATCGTTATGTAAACTTCGAACTTTAATTGGATGCTGGAGTGACGGGCGGACTTAATCAATCTAATCAGATCTAAAGATCTGTGATTGAATGATCTAGAAAAATACGTTACAATAACAGCGAGCGCTCACTCAACTGTTGAGTCTGTTGAATCAAAAGTAATGACTGTTTTTTAGGTGTCAATTTCGAGTTTTTTAAAGACGTTTTTTTTTTACTTTTTCGAACGGAACTATTTCTTAAACCTATCAGGAACTCTGGAACTATTGGAAATCTATTCAGAACTATCAAAAAAATTATTTTTTTTAATAAGGGAAGGCTAGCTTCACAAGGGTGAAACATAATGTTTATTTAATACCTTATTTAATGTATTGTATGTAATGTTTATATATTATATTATAATTATACACACATTTCTTGTGCTGTGTGTTATATCACATATTTTTATGTAAGTCATGTATACTTAGATCGTATATTTTCATTCATTTCTCTTGTAAGCTTTAAAATCATAATTTAAAAATCTCATTATATTCTTATACATTATTCAAATGTTCAGAAAACTACTTTTTGTTTGGATATATGTATTTGGGATTATTTTTATAATGTGAAGAAATAACATGGTAACAGGAAATTGTTACAATATATGTAATTTTTTTGTTTTTTATACAGGTTTGTGTTTTCTGACAGTTATTTGCAATTTGAGTCTTTTCTTTTATTTTGAAAAAGGATTTTATATTCTATAGAAAACGACGAAAATGAAAAAGAGTACGGAATGCACGTTTCGTCAATATTACAAATGACTCCAGCATTCCCTTAAGAATTAGAAGCTGTACACAATCAAAGAAATAAACAAGACATAAAAGAATAATAATTTTATTAACCTATTAGAAACTACGTACTGTGGAAAAGTATTTCACAGTTTGTAATAGGCTGAAATTCTTATTCTCTGCTCCCTATTTTTTTGATTATGCGCAACCTCTTACAAAATAAGATATACTTACAAGCTACTAATACTACTAGCGGTGCCGCATTCCTTCTACCGTCGTTTCCGATTATGATTCTGACATCACGCGGAGTGAGCTCTATCCACAAATAGACAGTCATCTTGTTCGATTGCGACGAGCGACTTTTGTCAGCTCGAATCCGCACTTTCTTTCTAGTCACGATAATCTTTTTCCTCTGTATGGCAGCAAATGTCTAAAAATATCACACTTTACGGGACGTGACGCTCTGGGTAAATATGCACCGTTCGCAAATGTATGTCACGTACAATGTCAATTTTATCGGTACGTCGATCGTTGGACAAGTAACTACCATTTATGCCTGTTTCTACCAATTAACTTCAATCTCGGTTCAACTTACTCTTTATCTTCTTCTAATATCTAGTAGAGTACTAGTATAGTACTAAAAAAAAGAGAGTAAATTAAATTCAGTTGAAGAATCTATATTGTTAATGACAGAAATGAACGTTAGTCGAATAAATTTTGACCTTCAGATAATGAGAAAAATGTTTCAAGACACTTTCGACGCTGTGTAGATAAAAATATGAAAAAAGAGGGAACAATATGTGAAAACATCACATCTTCGAGACGGTCAAACCAGTCATTGGAAAGACTACATCGTGGTATTATGAAATAGAGATAGTTTGAGATGGTTAATACATAAGATAGAATGAGATCTATGCATTATCTTGTCTCGTTCTATCTTATGCATCTATCTTATTCTACCTTAAGCAGGTAAACGAAAAATATGACGGACCATCAGAAGTTGCCTAAATCACTGAACTATGTCTATACTAGAATGATCACTTCTATGCTTTTATGTATAAGAGGATAGTGAGCTTGCATCTATACGCATGCATCTGTATGCATCCGCACATCTCTCCAAGAATACAGACACGTCTAAAAGTTTTGACCAGAGTATATTCTAGTATAAATATAGTTCAGTGCTTTAAACGATATTTATCTTTTTACTTGAGAATTTTTTAATGTGATTTTATAAGGTAGATAGTGCATCACCTTTAAGTATTTTACACGCAACATGCAAAGCAATTTTTTATCTCGCGATCTAGATTCGACCATAGTTGAATCCAATGGTGGATTCAGCAATGGCTCAGTTATTTTTCACGATCAAGTAACGTGTAAACCAAGATTAGTTTCATTTTCGCAAGTTCATACATTCTTCTCATTTTTCGTCATCTTTGCCGCCAATGAAGATGCTAGTAAAACACAAGACAATAATTAGGTTTCCTGATATATGTATTGTATGCATCTCGAAAGTTTGGATTCAGGACGAGTCGATTTCTGTTCTGTGCAGGATGGTATTAGATCCCAAGGTCACTAGTTTGCACAACGATTACGGAAGTTTCGATCGACCGTTGGGCGCCGGGGAGGGCCACGAGAGGGACGTTGAAGCGGCGGTTGATGGAAGCAGCAGCGGGATGGCACAGTCCAGCGATGTTTATCAACGGCAACCGCTCTTGCCCGGCGCACCGTTATCCAAAAGTAAGGACAAGTGGTCCGGAGTGGCCTCGGGTTCGGAATACTACGAGGATGATGAGGACGAAAAGGACATCGAAGGTCTGGGTAGACATCCTGGGATACCGAATGGTTCCAGCAGTGGCATGGTCAAGATCGACATGCCGGCGCCCCTACGCGAAGAGCCACGTTTCCCCAAGGAAAAATGGAAAACGTTTCTCGGTAAGAGAACGTGCGAAAGTCATTGTACTTAAAAAAAAGAAAGGTTCTTTAGAAACGTGTAGACACATGGAAAGCTGTACCTTGGAAAAAAAACATGTTTACTCTACATGGAAAAACTTGGAATTTTCAAAAGATTTCTCTTTCATCTTTGAAAATTAAAATTCTTCATACCAATTTTACCAGTACTTAGGAAAATTTTTTAAATTTTGCTTTTAAATTTAAATCGTGCTTTTTTTGGAAAACGAATTCTTTTTATTATTTGTTCTTGATAATACAAAGTGTCGGCAATCAGTTGAACGATGAGTATGACATACACATGCATATACAGTACCAAAAAGTATATCTTTTAAGTTTTCAGGAGTATAACTTTCATCAAAATAGAATAGATTTCGCTTAAAATTTTGTAGTAGACACTTAGTGGCAGATGCATTTTGCATACGTATGATGAAGTTTAATAGAATACATCATGATTTTTAAAACCTTTGTTGATATTTATAAAATCGTGTTTTTATATTGTCTTTGTGTTTCATATCGCTATTTTCACAATTACAAACTAATTTTAGTGATTACTTTTGTGTTTCAAAATTTTGCTAGCATTTAAACTTCTTATGGCGCGCGATTCAAAGTTCGTTATTCAATTTAACTTATTTTTGTGATTTCAAATAAAATGAATTTTTTTTCAAATTATTATTTCCATTATTTGATGAAAAATCATGCTATCAAAATGTTTTAATTTAATAAAAGTCCATACATTTTAAATCAAGTTATTCTAAAAAAATCTAACAATAAGTGATATATTAACTTTTGGTTTTTACTACTGTACATTTACATTCTCATTTATATCTCGTGAGTTTTTATAAAAAAACATCGGGTGACAGTAGATGATAATATACAGCAGAAGAGAGAAACTCACTGATATTGTAGTGAGCGTTCCCTATACTTATCTTATCATATAATTTTGCGACTCTGATTGAAGAAAAGGATAGATGCAGTCTCATGGAATCCTTGTATTTTATTTTAATTTACAATATATAGTTTGCATTACTTGCATTCTAATTTATTTTAAAATGCATTAAAAAGTTTCTAATCTTACCTTGAATTCTGAATGGCAAAATTTAGGAATTTTCGGAGAATTTTGTAATAAAATTTGAATAAACATTCTGATATACGAAAATTCTACTTTAGCATATTAATAGTATAATAATTTTTTCGTGATTTAAAATAAAAGTCCAAGACCTTTAAAATGCCGAAAAAATTAATATCATTAATAGCCAAGCTATTATATATTCGTCATGATGATTAAATCGACATACGATATTATTCACTAAACTCACAAAAAATATATTCTTTTTTTAAAAAAAATTTATTTTTATTATAATTTTTAAAACAAATTTCGTAAATTGTATCTTAATTTTTTTTTTGTGTCGCAAATTTACAAGAATATATAAATATGAAATTTTTAAAAATAAATTTCAGAAATGATAAGATATTTCGAATATTTTATTTAATTATAATAATTAGTAAATAGATATTTTGACCATTAAGCAATGCGTCGTTAAAACGTACGTACGGCATTGAGTAATTAAACACCGAGAACAACACCAAATGTTCTATATTTACTCTATCAGTTTTCTCGGTTTTTACTATGGCCGGATGTTTTGATGACACGTCTTGACGCAATAAGAATGGAACGAGAATTAGCAAACTATTTTCTGAGCAAATATCAAGAAACTCACCAGATAATTCCGCCGACTGCAGAGCCTCTCTAATTTAACTCCGTGTACGTAACATTCGTTCGCAGCGAGCAGACCATCGAGATCGAGGTCATTACATGGCCTGGTATTCGTTCGATACATCTCTGTTCGCGTAACTTGATATCACAGAGAGCCTCCCTCCCATCGATTTCCTCTTGCCTAGAGTTCGTATAATTTATCTCGATTGCTTTTTGCATCAGAGTTAATTGAAATGAGCAATTGGATATTCGCTGTTGTTCACGAAATGCACAACGCAGCGGATTTCACGAGTCCCGTTATGTATATCTGATACGATGCGGATCGTCGTTGCATGACAGAATTTATTAATTCGCGGTTATTCTCGAACACCCGGGAACGGAAGAAACTAAGAAATGATATATGAAAAAAGAAAATAGTATGCTAATTGCATTCGGAGAGTTGCATACAGAGATCTATATGTATACGTTTGATGCTTTTTGTTACAGCATTTCTCTTTATGGTTGTAAACTTCATACTAACGACGGCTTCCCTCGCAATGGTACACGAGCGCGTCCCAGACAGAAACACGTATGGACCGCTTCCCGATGTGGTACTAGACAATGTCAATGCTCAGGATTGGGCGCTTAATGTCTCGGAAGTCTTGATTATGATCATGTCCAATTCCGCGATGGTTTTTATTATTTTTCATAAACATAGGTATGTATTAAACCCAAAGTAAATCGATACCAAATCATCTTTGCTAAAGATAAATCTATGTAATTAATTTATTTCCGTAGATTCATAGTAGCTAGACGAATATTTTTGCTGATGGGCTTACTCTACATGATGAGAAGCGTTACAATGTACGTGACGGTCTTACCGATCGCCAGTAAAACTTACTATTGTAGCCCGAAGGCGAACAACACCAGTCCGCTTCTCGTGACAAAGAGAGTCTTGCAGCTCATCTCCGGCTTCGGTTTGTCTATTAATGGCAAGCACACTTATTGCGGAGATTACATTTACAGTGGGCACACGGTTGTGCTTGTACTCAGTTACCTGATTATTAAGGAGTGTATGTATCTTCGTCATTTGTTCAAGAAATAAATACGGATATACATGATGTCGGTATAATTTCACATAGTAATTTGTAATTTCAGATTCTCCAAGGAGATGTCAACCGATTCATTGGTTAGCTAGTTTAGCGGTACTCGTCGGGGTAATTATGGTCTTGGTAGCTCATGGCCATTATACCGTGGATGTACTTATAGCTTACTACGTTACTACGCGTCTGTGGTATATTTATCACACGCTAGCCAATAATTCAAATCTCAAGGTATGTTTCATTTTCGAACAAAAATGAAAATTCTCTGCTGTACGAAAAATATAATTTATTTAAAAATTAATATAATTTTAATAACATTAATTATAATTTAATGTTACATTTGTATTATAATTTATATATTGTTAATGTATAATATAATAAATTTTTTTTGCAGCAATACGGACCAAACAACTTTTTGGCCCGTCTCTGGTGGTTCTCTATTTTCAAGTATTTTGAGAAAAATGTGGGCGGAACAGTGCCACGACAATACGACTGGCCTCTACCTTGGCCTCGACGGTTTCTTGCCAAGCATCCTAACCGGGACAGTTAATACTTATCTTGGTTTTATGATAGAGGCTGTTAAAAACAAAGGAGTTACTTTTGTTGTATATATTTTACACAATACACTCATATAACACATACACATACATACATATCCCACACATACATACGCACGCATTCACAAATGTATGTATATAAATCGAGGCTTGTTAACATGGAGTCACTAAAGAATATGCATGGGACATACGGTTGTTTTCAGAGTAATCGCGCATTCATTGTTGAAACATGAATTTTGTGTTGTTCACCTCTGTATAATTCAATCGTGAATTTATATAGACACAGTACCCGTGCTCTTTCACGTAAAATTATCGTCCAGTCAGCCCGAATTTACTTTGCTTGATTTTTATACAATTTATATACAGTATAAAGAATAGACATAGAAAGATGGATTTTATTATAATATCATAAAGATTCGGATGGAGGAAGATATTCGAGTTAATAAGACACATATTAATTCGCTTTATAGCGTTTATATTTTCAACTATGTAGTTACAAATTGAAAGTAATATAATAAATGAACATAGGATAAATGTGTGTTTTTAAAAACTCGATATTATGCAATAAGAAGTATTTGTAAACTTTAAAGGGCCATTGTATAGATAAATATTAAGACAAAATCTTAATCCTTCCTCTAAACGAATCTTTGACGTTACATGCTCGATTTGAGTCGACGTCTTGATCTTCCAATGTCTAGACGTCGTCGTCCCTGACTTTGCATTTGCGATACGAAATTATTCCGATGAAAAACGATTTTGCAAACGAATTTGCCAAAAATGTACTGTAGATTCGCGTGATGTATATGCCTTAATTAAAGTTTTTTATTGCTGATTATCCTCGAAATTGTTTCCTTCGTGCTTTGGAGAGAAATACCCAATATCCAATACTAGAAGCGATTGTGCAATTTCGCGGGACCAAAACAAGAACGCTCAATAATGAATATTAAATCATATAATATTGACAGACTAAATGCACCAAGTCATAAGAAGACATCTCCATTATATATGTATATATACATATGTGTATATATATGTATACATAAAGTTGATAAAAAGTTTTAATAGCATTATTAAGGAATTTTCTGTAACTTTGATTAAATTTCGTAATATATGACCATCACAGATGGAATTCGCATCTCGTATCTGCCATATATACAAATTATATATGTACACGAATTAATAATAACAATAACTTGTATATATGGCAGATAAAAAATCCAAATTTTACTTGCGTTGGGCCATATATTACATAATTTAACTAAAATTACAAAATTCCTTAATAATATTTTTTAAATTTTACACACGCATACACAACACACACACATGCATACAGTCTGCCCCAGATTTGGATAAGTTTATTTATAACATATCTTGGACATTGAATTTCTAGAAGATACTCGCTCTTCTAACTTCCATTAGTTGATACGTGAAAGTATCATACATAGAGTAATGAGAAAAATACAAAACAAAAAGAGGAAAGTACTGAAGCATTCGTGTTTTCACGGAATAAGATCGTCGTACGCTTGTGCATACACCGGATGTTGTCATATATATATATATATATATACATATATATATATTGCAGAGGTAATGTAACAAAGTGTGCAAAATGTAAAAGACAATTTTGCATTCGTGGAAAGACCGAGTGACAAAAATAATGAAAAGTCATCGACCTTTCACACGATTTCCTCTTCCTTTGTTCTTCTCGCGTTTCATTATTTCAACGACTTCTTGCCCAACTGACTTTTTTTCCCATCTGAGGAAGAAGAGTAACATAATTTAATGATGTCGATGAAAATGCCGCGGTTCTTCAAATATTTGTATAAACGATTATGAATCTCATCTAATAATGTACAAGTAAAGCGGTAACAAATCGCGTGACTGTTCACGTTTTCCTAGCATCCGATGAATGTTGCGTGTATGCTATATGTATGTTGTAAAAGTGCTGAGTAAGGTTAATTATAGCTTAAATTGCGTCAAAGATGGTTTGTTGTCTTATTCACCTGTGATTCATTGTTGAATCTCTAACAAGTACGAAACGTATTGCATTCTTTACAATTTTTATTAAATTTTTGTTGTCTTCTTTTATGTATATAGTTCGAATAATAAAACATTTCTTACAATACACTCCGCAGAAGTTTACATGTAAATCTATATTTTTTTTATTATATATATATATATAAGTTGATGAAGCAATTGGAGATGCATTGATTGTATAAATTATATTGATTTATTATATTTTTTTTTTATTATTCGTCGATTGGACGCGTTTGGTAATTGAACAGAATTCGGGCAAAAGTTATAAAGAAGAAGAATTATGTGTATGTGTATGTGTGAGAGAGAGAGAGAAAGAGAGATGCGATAATATTGTTAATATTAAATAATTAACTCTTTTCCGTCTGTGATGATAAATAAATGAAAGAATAAATCACCGTTGAGTAATTTCGCGGTCTTATAATAATGTAGCAATCGACTGGCGGATCAATACCAATGTGGCCAGATATTTCTTCTTGACATTCAAATTATAAATGCGTGTAATTGTTAAACATATATTTTAATAAGATTAATGTAGTTAGTAGTGAAATTTTTAGCTGACATTTGCGCAGCATGAAACAGATAACGCCGTATTTAGGGGTATATTTTTGAAATATATGCATAATGTATATAAGTGCATTCTCTGAGCTGACATGTATAGCTAATGTAGTAAATTAATAACATGTCGCTAAACGAATACGAGAATGGACTAAACGAATACAGACACACATTCAAATATTACAGATATATATTTGCAAAGATTGATATGTATTACGCGCATTTATTGGTGTATGTATATATATGTATATACACACACATGCGTAACGCATATTTTTATTACGTTGCTCTTCGGGGCGGATACGCTTCATACGAAAACAATTTCAATGTAGATAGACCTTAGATCAGTCTGACATTTATGAGAATGTTATTGTAGATCTCTTAGACGCGTTAAAAAATGTAAGCCAAAAGATACTATTGAGTATGCATATATATATATATATATAGGTATACGCAGCGTGATATGTGCATGTATAACATATATTTTAATATACATGTACGAATATGTACTATAAAAATGATATATTTACACGCACACAATGAGAAAAAAATTTCTTGGAGCCTTTCGTTGATGTTTAATAATATAAAAAATATATCAAATATGTGTATATATATTATATGTATATTCTATTATATGTGCATATGTATAGGTATACATATACACATATAATAGAATTCGTGTATATGTGTATGTATATATAGTACAACCGTGGCACACATGCACGCATGCCTGCGTGGATATAATTGCGTGTTTATATGTATATACATATATATCTATATATTTTTACGTGTAGATATTTTTTGGTAACTTGTTACAATAACTGATTAGACCAGTTAAGTTACATATTATATATATAATATATATATATATATATAGGAAGAAAAAATATACATATATATATATCTGCGTTGTAAATAAAGAATAAAGCAAAAGAGCTTTTATCATTGCGTGAAAATTAATCAAAATTTTGTTATTGTTAAATACATATGTACAACAGCATTCTTTGATTATTTGTGGGATATAATTATAGTTCCGAATATTAAATTTTTTGAAAATCGAATAAGCGATAATGCAACTTGATTTCTGTTATCCGTACATTGTACATACATCTTTATGAAAACATTGATATTATTACTATGAAAAGCAAGTTGTATTTAGCTTCACTTTATTTGTACTTCTGTATTTATAAAGTATTTATTACAATTTTCATATGTTGACGTAATAAAGTTTCAAGTATATATACTTTACTCGAATTATCTCTGTATGTTTTTTACCTTTCAAATCGCTATAAATTCTTTTTGAAATTTAAAGTATGATTTTTATTGTTTACTTTTTGAAACATACGTACATTTATACAATTACTGTATCAAAAATAAAAAATTACAGGCTTGTTGATCGATACCTTTTGTTTCGGTTTCAAATTTATCTTTTGACAGACGTCTTCCTTTGCGTATATATAAAGTTTATTTAGTCATACTTGGTGTAAATCTACAAGTGGATCAATCCCAAAGCAAAATTCTGCGCACAACATAGTAATTTTTATATTGTTAAAAACGTGAAACAAAAATGTAGTTTAATATCATTCTCATTCAGTAATTTTTATCATGGGTTAAGTAAGTAAACTAACTTGTATAAATTCTTAAAATACTAAATTTTATAAAATTATCAAAAATATATATATAATAAATGTATACCTTTTTTTATTTAATTTCTTTATTAATTTTTTATAGATAAACACGTATGCATATTCGGATTATCTGAATATCTTAAGACAAATATCGAAAAATAAATTACCACTAAAATTAGAGGCATGGAGAATCATGGTAGTATCGGCGAGGGTGATATCGGACAAACTAAAGAGAAAAAAGTTCCACCTCGTAACAATATCGGAAAACGATGGCATCGCTTTCGAGTTCTAACGCCATGTTCGTTTATTCTTCGAGGTTCTCGTGCGATGAGTGATCGCCGATTCAAGTATAAAAGTCGAGGACGACAAGCAGCACCGTGTGCGATAGTGGCCATTGTTTATGGTCGTCTGTTTGAACCGAAGGAGTGGACAAGCAATCACATAGATCAAGTACTTGAATATGGTGATAAGTTGTTTCGCGTAAGCTTGAGGAGGAACAAGCTAAAGGACGATGAATATATGAAGACCAATCTCATACACAATGAGTTCGATATTGGTTTCTACAAAATTTTGGTTGATATCGAAGATAACGGTATTCACGGCAATCTCTTTAGCGAGTCAGTTGGTTGTTCCGATTTTGCTGAAGGTCTCCAAAAATTTCTCAAGAATAACGATTCCGGAGTAATCACCGCTCAGGCTAGTTCCGTTGCTGTATGGCGTCAGTCTGGAAATGCCGGTTTCCTATGCTATGATCCATCTTCATGCGATGAGACTGGTCTGCATTATCCTGGTGGTACAGCTTGCCTCATGAGGTTTAAATACATAAATGACTTGCACGACCATTTGCTGAAGAACTTAAATTGGCGTTATGACTCTCGATATTGTATCGTCAAAGTCTCCTTGTTGCGTGCTACAGAGGTAATAGTATAAGCAGTAGAGTAGTGATAATAGTGGCAGAGAAGGGAGAGAAGCTTACTTTTCTCTATAAATGTTGTAAGAATAAATTATTATTATTACATAAAGAAATTCATATACCATACTATATTTATATAAAGATAAAAAGAGAAATGTCTATAAAAATTATATATATATAAAACTTTATATATTTTTATATAAAACATATTTACGTACATATATATGAAAAGTAAACATTTATAGGTCGATCATGAGTTCGTTGACCGTTCATTCGATGTCGTTAGTCCACCCGTAGTTCGGAAGAGCGTACTACGATCCATTAATCCTATTGACATCGATGATCACAAAGTGGACTGCACAAAGCCTGTGCCAAAGGAGGAAAAGTTACATACACTCGCAAGGATACGGAAAGAACCGTTATTAATCAATATTTCGAATTATAGCATCGATCGCTACCTTGCTACAGAGTTGTTGGTGAATCGAAACAAGTTTGACACAGGATATTCATACGATGACATGCGAGTAAACGTGCCATCCACATTTACGGAATTACCTGGCAAAATAGCGATTCTTCATGGTTTAACTCACGAAGGAGATGAAATTTATAAAGGAAAAGGTGGACAAAACGTAGCAAATTGCGTGACGGCTATTGCTATGAAGAAGATGCATCCGGTGAAGACATGGGTGAGATCGACGTTGGATGAAATCCTGATGATGGGTGACTCATTGTATGCTAAAGTTAAATTCGACAAGCCAATAATAAAGACGATGACAGCGGCCGATTTAGATAATACCAAATTGCAAATAGAAGATCGTGAACTAGTGATAGATGTCGATCTGATCACCGTGACCGGTACGATTAGCTCAAAGGTGCCGTCAGTTTTGAATCTGAAGCAGGCACTGGAAGAGTTTTTCCTACTAAACGAGGAGGGTGTGATCGAAACGAGTTCAATGGCGGTGGCAGTTTGGAGCCAGGATGATTGTTACTATTTATTCGATCCTCGACATTGCGATGCTACCGGAATCAGGATAAGAGAAGAGGAAACTGCCAAAGTTGCAGAAAGAGATAGGAAGGAGGAAATACAGAAAGATAAGAAAGAAATAGGAAATTGTTGTGTGATTCGATTTCCAGACTTAGACTCCTTAACTGCGCTGTTCCTGAAGAATGTTGATTCTACAAAAAAGAACGATCGATTTACTATTCGGCATGTCACGATCATGGATGATGTGCCTGGCACTCGAGCTTGGAATGAGTTTCAGCCAGGTATGGCGGGTAAGACGTGGGTGTTGCAAGGTGAAATATCCAATGTGGATGAGTTATTCGAGGAAGAAAACCAAGGAGTTCAAGGTCTTGCTATGCCAGTTGTGGCCTTGGTTAGCGCAAGGGAAACACCAGCAGCAAACTGGAGTAAGGAGACCGTCGATGAAGTGATCAGGGAGGGCGATGCTTATTACAACTGGTCCAAGCCTACCGAAACGGAAGAAGAAACTGAAAGATTGCTTCTTGTCCAAGATCTGAAGAAAAATTTGTACTTTAAAAATCGAAAAGTTAGTATTGATATCAACGAGGCGGCAGTTGTCGGTGATCTATCAGCATCGGATGATTCTAAACTGCCAAACCTGGAAAAAGGGTTGAATCAATTCTTCGAGGACAAAAATTATGGAATAATCGAGACGAAGAGACTCTCAGCGGCGGTATGGAAAGAAGAAGAAGAGATCAAGGACAAGGATAAAAAAGAGATATTTTACTATTACTTTGATCCAAACCCTCGTGATAAATTAGGTCAACTGTCAGCGGCAAGAGACGAAGAAAATTCTGCTTGCTTGGTGCGATCTTCGGACATCTCAGCGTTAGCAGATCTCATTAAAAAGAATGCGGGGCAAAATGAAGGCAAGAACGATTTCATGATACACGAGTTAAAGAATGTCTCTATCGGCTCGCTTATGACTAACGAAGAGATTGAAGCGGATAAACAGATACCGATTGTGCCGGATTTGAACAACTATACGAATTTGGGCAAGACTGGCGCTTTACTTTTGGGTACCATCGATCAAAGAAATGAATCGGCTTTCAAACGAACAACAAGAGATAAACAGCAAGCCGCTAATTCTTTGACAACCTTGGCTATGACAAAACTTTACAATCCTCATTTGTGGTACTGTGAACTCGTAGATGATATCTTAAGGATTGGTGATAAACTCACCAATGAGAACTTGATAAATCTACCTGAAATAGAGGCTGAAGAAGAAACTCCCAGAAATTATCTTCTTCCTTCGGAAATCACAGAAGATTTCGCCATAGGAGTCAATCGAATGTCGATCGAGCTTGAAGAAGAATCTATCATCGGAAGCATGACTGACGTGATAAGACTACTCGAACAATTTTTCGAGGGAAACTCGATGGGAGTGTTTCGTCAGGATAATGTAATGATGCCGATTTGGAGAGAAGGTGAAGTGTTCTTCACGATGGATCCCAGGGGTAGAAACGCTCAAGGCGAACCCAGAGATAAGGATGGAGCTGCAGCTGTAATGTGGTTCACCGATATTCCCTCGTTAGCTGACGTTCTTCGAACAGTTGCACGAGATGTCGATAACTTCGTCATCGACGCCGTCTTAATTGAGAATGTGTATGAGACGCGAGTGGCCCAAGCCGAACGTGTCAAAAAGACCACTTCCGGTGAAGATCTGTGGCATCACTTTCCCAAACTCGCCAATGGTGTTTGGAGCATCGACGGTAACGTCACTATGACAGACGAGAGGTTCGACGAGGGAAATCGTGGCAAACAAAGTGCAGCCATCGCTGCGATGGCCATCGTCTTCTCCAAGGTTTCTTTTTCTCTCTATATAATCAGTTTTAATTAATTTTATTTAATTTTTCCTGTATAATTAAACTGTGCAAAGATAACTAACATGGAAAATTAATAAAGGTCTACCAACCGAGACAGTGGACACCATCCATTCTTGACCAAATTATCGTTACTGGCGACAAGTTGCATTCAAAGTGCGTTGAGAGACTGGGTACTGGTTCGATACCATTAGTGAACGAAATTATCAGTGAATTTTTCCTGTCTTCTCGACGAATCGCTCTAACAATCAAGGATTGCGTTCAAGCGGGTAGTCTTACTGGGAAACCACCTAAGATTCAAGATTTACGGAGAGGAATCGACGATTTCTTCAACAAGTACGAAGCTGGCGTATTGACCGTACGGGGAAACCAAAATTTAGCCATGTGGAAGGTCGATAACGCGTATTATGTTCTGATACCCAACTATCAGTCCACTACTACGAAAGAAAACGTGTCAATGGTACCGCGAGTAATCAGATTCAAGGATACGAGTCTCCTTGTAGATTATCTTTTACGCCATTTGGGAACCGAAGGCGATTACCAAATTACTGCGATCGACGTGGTGGATTGGACTAAACCGCCACTTTGGAAACTTGATCCTAGTCCGGCGATTCGGCCGGCGAACCTGCCTCCTTTGAACGCTTACAGAAAATTACGGGGCGAGGCGCGTGCTATCTTGCGCGGAAGCTATCATCAAGGCGACAAGATCTTCCCCGAAACGTTGCGTGGTCGACAAACGGCGGCAAATTGTGTCGTTGCGCTCGGCATGTCAATCGTCAAGAACCCCGTCACCTGGACGAAAAAGACCATGGACGAGATTTTGGCGATCGGTAGTAACGTTCATCAGGAGACAAGAAAGATCAAACCCGAATCGAGATTGAAACCGAAGGATATTATCAGAGTATTCTATGTAGGTATGTACGTCAATTTGTCGTATCCGACGTCTCCTTTTTCCGTTGTTTTAGAATAGAAACTATTCTAAACAAATTTCTGAATTTATTCTCGCAGGTGTCAATGTTTTAACTGCTGACATCGAGCCTAATACCGTAATCGGTCTAGTGGCGATTGAACCATCCGTCTCTGAAGACAAAAAGCAAGAAGAGATGAAAGAAAAGATTGACGAACGCAAGAAGAGAACGACTCGACGAGAACGACCATTACCTTCTTCGATTTTACTGGAGGAAGGTTTGCGGAAATTTTTTGAAGATAATCGTGCCGGTATTCTAATAACCGATCGCGGTATGATAGCTATTTGGAAAGATCTAGGTGTTTACTTCATGTACGATCCTAGAGCTAAAAACGATCAGGGTCTGCCGGATTCTAACGGAACTTCGTGTATAATGTGGTTCGCTTGTCTGGAACCTTTATACGATACAATCATCGTAAACATTGATCCCCGTGAGAGATACGGAGTTTTCGAGATCTGCCGGGTGATCATAAGGAATGTCATAATTGAGACATTGCCATGTCCAGGTGGCTTTCGACCATATTTAGATCGTATCGCGCCACTCGTTCCAATTATCTGCCCAAAAAAGACAGTTATGTTGAACGTGGAGCCGCTGAACGAGTATAATTTCGTGGACGACGAACTGAGCGTTTTGCGTGGCAGCCTGCACATGAATCATCGTATCTTCAATCTGAGAAACAGGGGTTTGCAGAGTACGGCAATCGCGGCGGTCGCCGTTGTAGTAGGGCTACTGCACGTGCCATCCACGTGGACTTCCGAGCTGGTCGACGCCGTACTCAAGTACGGTGACTCTCTGTACTTAGAGAGTGCCCGAGCCGCTCGACCGGGTGCCAGGAATCTCTCACCCAGCGAGTTACTCACCGTGTTTATCGTGGGTGACTTGAGGGTCAGTATTCACGTTCATAATCACACCACTGCGGGGTTACTTCATACCTTCGATCTGTCCGAGGCGCTCGCCATGTTTTTCCGCGCTAACTGCGCCGGGATATTGCACACGACCAATCTGGCGATGGCTGTGATGCAGCATTACGGTAAATTCTACATGTTCGACCCGTGCTCGAGAAACGCTCAGGGTAGACCTGCCTACGACGGCGCCGCATGTATGTACAAGTGTAACAGTATCGCAAAGATGGCTAAGATATTCGTGGACAATTGCAACTCGAAGAGACCGAATGTATACACTTTGAACGCGGTTAACGTATTGAATCTGCACTTTTTTTCAACCACTAGAGGCATTTGTGCTAAATATTAATAAATTTTTGGTTGTACGTTTTACTTTTCCTTATTCATCAAATAGCTACGATTGATACGAGTCTCAAGGTCATGTATCTATATAAAATTTTCAGAATTAAAAAAAATACTTCACAATCCTTAAACGCATGCAAAAATTTCGTGTCTAAGCCAACAAAAGATAAATGGAAGTGAGAGAAAGAATTCGTACACGCGGTCGACAACGTTCTCAAAGTGCTAATTTTATTTATAGGGTTTCTTTATGACACAAATCACTTTTAGCATCTACATGAGTAGGATTACAGGCTATACGAGAATGAATGATACAGATCGCTTATTAGTATAAATACAATGTTCCTTTTCCTCAATTACACGCGCGCTATCAGCCTAGATACTTAAAAAACACTGTACAACGCAGTTGAGAACTGTCGATTGATACTTTACAATATGATACAATCATTCCTTTGAAGCGAGACACTAGCTCCGAACTCCCGACTCGATCGGCACGAGCTTGGTCACCCTCGTCACCGGAGGAAGGGGGTCGTCATCTGCGACTCGCGAGCAAATCTCGATACTCTCTTTTACTCGAGCGGACTGTAGGCCGTATCGAGCGAGTTTGCTCACATTCCGAGAATGGCATTCTGCATCCCAGGGGATACGTTCTCTTTATACCCGGTAACGTCAAACCGGGACGTTTTCACGTCTCCGAATAGTTCGCCATCGAATTCTAGACGACGTCGCCTCGTCGTTTCTAGCAGAAAGGAGGCAGCGAGCGGGATCGAGATGATCCATGGGAGAGTACGCTACTTCCTTTGCGACATCAGATTGTTCAACAGGAAGAAATCGGTCCCATTCACGCCACTCTCTTCACAACCTTCACGTGTAGCGATACTCAAATGTCTCGCATGAAACTCGAAGAGTCTCGTTTTCACGTCCTGGCTGTCCTTATCGCTACCTCCTTTCTTTTCGCACTCGTCTCTCGTGAGACGTTGCTGGTTGTCCTTGCCCCGTACTTATTCGATATGTACTTCAGTTCCTCGATCGAACATCCTGTACGCGCGAGAGTCTACGTTTCTCTTTCGTTCGAGTACTGCTAAATATTGTATTTCGCTTTGTTTGCGATCGTGTAATATACAGATCAGCATTCGCGAAAAAGTTCTTACTAAATGCCATTTTCAGTCTGTTTAACGAGTTCGATCGACAAACGAAGAAGGCGGGTAGGAAGGGAGAGAGAACGGCGGATCGAGTGAAGGGGGAAAGAGGGAGAAAAGGGCATGTTCGCGTCGATGGCTTACGCTCCACGATCGATCGAACTAGGAATGGGTTATAATGTTAAAAACAATATGTATTATATGAATAATATTGGCATGACGTTGTTATGGCACGTTTAGTTCGCTGCTATACTCGATGCGTTTCTACAGCGATTTTCGCCATGTTTAATATACACAGACACCGGTTACCGTGATTCCAGTCTATGGCTGGGTTCAGTAGAAAAAGCAATTGTAAAAAAATATTGTAAAATTATTTAATATTATTGGTTATGTATATAGATCTGATAAGAAGCTAGGAACAAGAACTAATCATATTGAAGAATTTTACAACAATCGTAAAGCTGCTTTTTCTACTGAATACGGCTAATGAAATAAAAAGAAAACAAAAGAAAAACAAAAGAGTATAAAAAAAGGAGAAACACATTGCGGAAGGGAAATAAGGGAAAAGATATTGTCATAGACGTTCGCGCGTGCACCCTCGTGCAACGTCTACTTCCGTTTCGTGGCGCACACACGCGCGCAATTTCACACTCTCGTTCTCTCATTGGCACCTCCATTGCACTTTCCCATGCGCCGCAACAAATGCATCTTATATAAAACATATTTATTTTATGTACAAAAGAGAAACTGCTCTCTGAATAAACGTTTACGGAACAATCGTTACAAAGGACCCTTCTCGCGCATTTCTTTCCGGTTTGGTAATAGATAATAAAGAAAAACTAGAATCGCACCAAAATGTCGCGCATAACAGAACGAGATCAGTCATTAACAATTCTCATCGTAATTATATAATCGGTGTGCTCGAAATGGCGGCATACGATACATGATTTTAGCTTTTTACGAAACGTACTATCGTATAATGTCTTATTGCAAAAAGATTTAGTCTCATCATTCTCGTAAATATGTAAAATATCGAATTGATAAAATAAAAAATTTTTTCAATTAGCGCGATGTTAAAATCTTAATGATAAGACAAATAAAAATGAAAGATCCAGCGGTTGTTTTACAAAACAATATTGCGAAGAATCTTTTACTATATATACTTAATTAATTTCTATTACATTTATAAAAAGAGGATTAGCGTCTAACAGATTTTTCGCAACAAAAACAACTAATGAAATAATAAAAAATATATTCATTATTTCATATTATTTTGTATTAATTGTTCAAATAGTACGTTTTACATTTGCACGTTACACCGAGATACGATTTATAAACAATATATATATATATATAATAAAACATAAGGAAAAACGTATAGAATTGCCAATAAAAATATTTATAACGTTTTGCACCTAGAAACAAAAACCTGCATTATCCTAATGTTTGAAACCACATGCTAAACTCAGTTAATAACGAAAAGAGAGAAAAATATATAAAACGTTAGTAAAACCTACAATGTTTTATAGGATATTATAAAATGTTTTTTTTTCTCCGTAAAATCCGTTTTTAATCATCGTTTATTGAGCGATTGTTCCAACAATAAAAATTTTTCTATTTTACGATTTGAGAGAGAAACTTATTTCTCTGATGCGCGCAAACGTACAAATTACAAATCAACTAATCCTCAAGTCGCACATTGCTACACGCTCATCGAACGCTCACGTTAATACGTAAAAGTGAAAAGATAGGTAGAAAATGTTTGAAAAGAGTAATAAAACTACGAGAGAGAAATAGACAGATTACAGGATATCTTCTAAAAACATTTTTGACACTCGCAAGTTGACTAACGCAGCTCGTTCCAATATTTCTATAGAGAATAATTGTATTTCTTGTGTGAGTTTAGTTTCTTTTTTTATTTTATCGCGGTTATTATTGTCTTTATTAAATCGAAAATGCAAATCATGCGAATTAACGGCTGAAATTATTATCTAATTTGAAAAAAGAATCAAAAAATGAAGAAATTGAGCAATGTTAAGTCGGTTGCAATAATGACAATAAAAAAACACGAAGTTCAACAATACGTATTATTAGTATTAATACGCAATTATACCAATATACGTATTCATACTTAATAACTACGTAATTAAGCGTGTTATATTCCGTACAAATGAAAATTTGTACGGAATATAAAAATTTGCTTGATAAGTTTTACAAAATACGTTGCCTTTAGAACCTTATCGATCGTATAGCGCCATTTATCAATGTAATATTATAAAAAATGAGATGGAAAGAAAGGAGAAAGAAACAAATATTTGTAGAAAGTAAACAGAGTCGATAAAAAGGATCTTACATGCTAATCAACCGCACTGTGTATAGACTTTTAAAAAAATAACAAATTGCATATACATAGAAGTTAGATATTTTGACACACTTGATGTGTAAGGTGAGGTCGAATAAACAAATGATAATAAAACGCATCTCACGCGCGAGCGCGCCGCTTCGTTTCTTTCTTGCGGCTTCTCCGCTTTACACTTCTAGCTATTTGTCCGCAATATAATTACTTTCCTAAAGTATAGTAGCTGGCACAGGAACATGACTCTCAGTCATTGGCATCACAACGTAACAAGGACTACAAGCTGCGTCACGCGCACTTTCAATGAGCTTGCTTTCTCTGTCGCATTATTATCAGACGTGCACCTTGCTCTTCCCCAGCTTCGCAAGCATACATGCACATGTATTCTCTCACGCTTACATCTCGCTTACATTTGTCTTTTTGCTGAGCGGGTGACTACAACCAAATACTTGGTCCTGAGTATTTCTGCACATAGTATTTATTTCTGTTCTTTTGTTAACACGTATATAACGTCTTGATCATTATTCTCGACTTTGGATGATCTCTATTTCGGCGAATGGATAAGAACGAGGCCAGGAGAAGGTAATCCAAGACGACGTTTATCAATCCATAATGGTGATGGAAGATTCGCACGATGATTCTGCATGTTCGAATCCAAATCATCAACAACAGTACCACTTCGATTGTAGATTGCGTCTAAGTCGACCAAGTAATCACTTATTTGCGAATTACCTCCAGGCGTCTCGAAAATACTATAGTCTCCTTGAACCTCTATCAAATCCTCCAAAATCAGAACGGAATTCTGAGAGGAACGTTAAACGACGAAAGCGATTCTTATTTGGTCTCTCATTCGCCAAGTTCCTCTCTTTGCTTCTATCATCATTTCAGTCGATTCTTCATCATCCAGCCTTCTTATCGCGTGCATACGTAGACGGACCCTATAGATGACACCGCGTGTAGCAACAGTTCGGTCACGTGGGTCCGGCCGGGGCTACGTAACACTGATTGCCGGGTTGGAAGGGCCCGAAGGTGCGGGCTCGCTTTTTATACACTGTCCAGTCAGCTGGTTCACGCTGAGCGGGTTGTTAATGTCGTGAGGATTCGTGCCGACGGGGTTGCGATGAGGCTGCGGAGGTGGTTGCGGTTGCACTGCCGCCGATGTTACTGCCGATCCTGCCATTGCCATCGCTGCCGCTGCCGCTGCCGCCGCCGCTACCGACGTTGTCGTCGTCGTTGTCGTCGTCGTCACCATCGCTGGCTGGTTCGTATTTGACAGAGGCGGGGGCGGCACCGGGGGTGTTAACGGGCACGGGCACGGACATGGACTGGCCAGACTCGAGGGTGATGGTAAGACCAACGAAGGACTCGCCAGACTAGACAACACGGACAGACCCCCGGGACTACTCAAAGATTCGTCTTCCTCAGGAGTCCCTGCCTCTCCTACGCTACCCAGATTATCCTCTGAATGATCATCCTCAGCTTCACCGTCAGCTTCACCGTCGCCGTCTCCTCCCTCCCCCATGTATCTGATACATTTCTTCTTACGTCTGCAAATAATGACATGAAACCGATTAGTACATGCTTCTTTAGGTGTGTTGAAAACACAATATAATGTTGTCTTTCGATTGTTGCAATTTCCATCTGTGAGAGGTAATTTAATTAAATAATAGCAAATATATAAATACCGTAAATTTTTATTTATATTTGGACAATGTTCTAAAATGCAAGATTAAAGCACAATGTTCTTTAACGTACAAAAGATAGGCAGAAGCTTATTTCAATCTGATATTATGACTAATCAAGTAATGTTTTTTTAATAACATTTAATTTTAATTCGACCCTTGTGTCTCTAAATTTTCTTCAATTATCTCTAAACTTTACGTGGAGCTCGATATTCGATGGAAACCTCACCGTTGGAAATGCGCAGTGTTCATGAAAAATGTTACATCTAAAATTGTTACCAACTAAAAAAAAAACATGCTATTACATCATCATCGCAAGGTCAGACACACAAACTTCTCCATTTCGAGTTAGTAAATTATCTCATGTTTCAATGCCTCAATTACCGAAGGCAACAATCTTTGTGCGCCTGACAATGCTTCGATTGCTCGACACTGATCACTCGCTCGCAAATGCCATGCTCAAAATTCTTGGACGTAACAAGCATAACGTGTAAGAAATTTGTACGTGACAAAGGAAACAAAACTGAAACTGATATTTATCAGGGGGCATCTATCGAATCCTTTATCATCCGTTAATCGATAACTTTATAGAGATCCGCGCTCTTTTTTTCGGCATCAATTTGTCATAAAACAGCCAATTGACGTATGTACATTGAATGGATACAGTATATGATGTTACGTGGAACTTGGAATATTGCGACTAAGTGTATTCAAAGTAAAGTTTTTAGTCGCGTAAAAGATGGACATCGATAGAAAAGATTCCGTGTGACGAGAGGAAGAAAGGCATTTTGCTACTGCACAATTTTCACAAGTGAGCCTGTCCGACCTCGTCCGAGAACTGCTTCGCAGTCGAGACATTTTGTCGCTCTGCCATTGGCTCTCATTATTTATCTCTCAGCTAAATCAATTAGTTTCATCGGCCGTACTGCCGAGGACGACGGAAGTTGCTATTAACTCGCAGTCACACTTGGATATCAAAGCATTACACAAAATTTACGGGAGATAGATACCGTAATTTAGTGCGCGACAACGAACGGGCATTTGAAAATCTCGTGCTGGATTGCAACATATATATAATATATATTACGCTTTTGTTAAATGAATTATCGATGATAGTTATGTATATAATTGTAGTTACTATCGAGTAGCAAGAATCGTTTTATTTTTAACAAGATATCAAAAAATAATAATTTGCATTCTTTCTTTTGTCTACATAAAAACAATAAATGTCTTTATACAGACATGGCAATAGGTACGTTGTTAAAAGAACTGCAATTGCAATCCAGTCCGAGATTCAATCTGATAATACGAAATTGTGCAAAATTTTAACTTAAATTTCATTCTACACGTTCAGCCAGCGAGATTTTTTTTTCCAAAGAAGTGCCTTAAGTGGTTACTATACGTATAAAACACGTTATTGTATAAAATATTACAAAAAAATGATTAGATATTAAAAGTAAAAAAAAATGTAAAAAAGAACACATCCGCAATCATCCGGTCTTAATTGTACGAACTGTCATGCTAAAAAATATATAAAAACCTTCTAAGTGTCAAACGTTCCGAAATCGGAGTAAATAACTGTTACATGTGTATATATATATAGAAACATATATGTATAATATATATATAATATGATATATATTACAAATCAGCCATGCTAAGGGCAACACTGAGTAAATTCCAACTAAACGAGAGGGATAAATAAATAACAATAATAAGCTGTAAAGAGCCACAACAATGAGAAACAATGCGAGCATCACGGGCCACCGTCGTGCCGCTTACTATGGGGCTCTCTTCGCTCGTATCTTTCCAGAATGATATTTAACGAGCTATATGTTCTCATCAAGAGTTTCAGAAAAAAAAAGTTCAATATCCAGTTCTGTGAGATACAGTAAAATCATTGGAGTTATCTTTCGAGCGACTGGCCGGCCATAGCGAGGACCGACGAAGGCCCGTAGGTTTCAAGTCGGGACTGACCACTGTTTAAGAAGAAGTGTTGCAGTAGAAGGGAGGCGATAGGCTTGACTAGAGATTAACATAAGTGGGTTCTTGCTGAGGCGAGGAGGCATTGGAGGCAGTGTTGGTGTTTGGCGGGGCGGCGGCTGTCCCCACCGTCCCTCCACCGCCTCCAGCCCCGACCCCTGCCCCCGCGCTACTTCCCACACCGTGATGGATTATGCTCGCGTGGATGCCCATCCCCGCTCCATGCTCCACTGGGCTGCCAAAACCAACCACCAGCCATTAAAGGGGCGCTCTCTCGCTAAGACATCGTCGACTTAATCCCACCTCAATCTCGCACCGTATCGTGTCGTCACCCACACGCACGTGTGTCTACGTATGTCGAGTGTGTTACCGTTTCTCTAACTTTCGGTCCCTAGATCTTTTGTGGTAGTAAAATCGCGGAAACGAGGCCGGCGATTAGCAGATCGAGATTGATTATCAAGATTATCAATTTTTTTTAAACGCAATTTTTATATTTTGGAATGCGCGGTATCGATGCCAGACAGAATCGTTTCATATCACTATTTCAGAAGAAATAAAAAATGGCAACTCTAAATTTTTTCTATTTTATACATAACTATATGTAAATATATTTTGCTGATAACAAATGACATCTCCAAATGTATTTGAAAATAAAACTTTGGCAAGAAAAGATAGTCGAGTGATATAGTAATCTATGCGTTACGTAAGTGATTGTGAGCCTCGTTGGAACAAGTTTGGATTTTAACTGGAACGAAGAAAGATAGTGGAAGATATAGCGATTGTTGTATCGATCAGAAAATATGTCTCCCAAGTATCCGCGCTGACGCGATAGTTTAGAATCGCATTTGATAGCGCTACAAATATTCGTGGTTACGTTACAATTTATGTTTAATTTTATTGTCCCACGTTTTACAATCCTTTAACATGATTTCTTAAATGTTCGTGATAACATTACTAATCGAAAGCACAATGACGTTTATACAGGCGGTATGTAAGTTACGTGCATTCAATTCAATGCAGAGTGCAATCGGCCAAGTCCAAGTGCAACAAACTAGGTGCTCCCGATATCTGACAGTAAGTCTCGATTTTGGCAGGACGAACACAAACCAAATATGGAGTCTATAATAGAAGTCGAAGTGATCGTAGGGTCTGAAGTCATAGAAAAAACTATCATAGTCGATTATTCTTTTCATATTCGACTGTGATTGATTAATTTTCTACAACTTAAGACCCCACGACAGCTACGACTTCTATTGTAGACTCCGCGAAATGCAATCGCACAGAATGAATTTTATACGCTTTACGACACGAATTTTACACGATTTACGACACGAATTTTATACGCTTCTAATTCATTCCCATGCATGCGACGATGAAAGATTGCCAGGTTGGCACGATTCGTTGATAAACTACGTTCTCCAAATGGCGCCTTAATCTAGTAATCGCTCTCGAGACTCATCGTCTCATCGTGTTATAAATGAAAGGAGAAAATAAAAGAACCGTCGATGGGATTCGTCCTCGCCCCTTTAATGAGGTCCATGAAATTTCACAAACCCAGCCGGGAGTTGGGGCATTTGGGCTACGCCGTGACAACGAGGCAGTGTATAGTCGACGCTAAAAACAGGTGGCTCGTGATACCGCGACAAACTACGAAAGTGTGCTTCTAGAAACCGATATTTACAAGCCAAGTACAGTTGGACACGTTTGGGCGTCATTAGGCGGCGTCGTGCGCCCATTCGCAACTAGGGACGAGATTAGTCGTTCACATCCCTTTCTCTTTTTGTTCTTTTTTTTCTCTTTGGAAGACACATTTTCTGATGGTAGCGCGCAACTTCGCGTTGTGCTCTTTTCTCTGTTTCTTTCCTCGTTCACTCTATGCTATATTTGTAGATTCGACAGGTAGAGAGTACCATCATTGTATGAATTATTCCTGACACGAGACGACCCTGTTGCGCATATCGTTTTGCATCGTATCGCACCGATATTTGTACACTGAAAAAAATAATGTTATATCAACAGCATTATTTTAATTAAAAATAACTTTGTTAATTCGTAACAGTATTAATTAAACAAATAAAATTTTATCAAAGCAAGAGCATGACGTATTTGTTTCATTAATAGTGTTATATTGCATTAACAAATTTATTTGCAATGAAATTAATGCTGTTAATATAACATCACTTGTTTTCAATGTATATACACAGAAAAAAAGATTATTCTTAAATCAACCATGCTCATATATGTATAAGCAAAAGTAATCTTGCTTCAAAGATTTTAGTTTTGATTTGATTGAATTTGTGTTGAGATGAAAGTATTACTTTTCAATTCAAGACTTTCTTAATAAAAAATTTAGCATCAATACAAACTCAATCAAATCAAGACTAAAATCTTTGAAACAATATTTTAGCTTATACATTATATGAGCATACTGTGGTATCGAAAGTCCTTTTTTCTGTGCATGTTCCGGAAATATGGCATTTGGTGATGTCGTTATAGTAAGTTCCATGTGGATAACATGTGGATGACGGAACGGGGTCCGAGACCGATACGAGATAGCGAAAATTGAGAATACTAGAATTGTAATTGATACATGTCGCGAGCAATCTTGAAGAAGGTCATTAGTACATGTAGAAAATAACAGACGTTTCCGAATCATCTAGTTGCTTCTAAAGCGCCAGAGTACACTTTAAGTAAGCTACACGAGTATCATTACCGTAAAATGTTAAATTATATACTCGTTATATTTTAAGTGAAACAGAAGATTGACGTTACGCGGAAGAATCCGGGATCTTCTTTTGAGAAATTAACAATATTGGTGAACGAAATATTTCGTGTACTGTATCCTCTATATGAAATTTATAATGATAGACAAGGAAAAAATTTTTTTTAATACAATCGACAAACATGACATTGCCAAATTATTGACTTCCGTAAAATTTAGTATATATTTACACACGAACTACAAAAATCGTACGCGCGATCTGACAATTGTTTTCTCACTGAAGCACAAGATATATCGAAAAAAAGCTCTGCACATGGCATACATACCTGCAGGGTTTGCACCATTGGCTTTGTTGATCTAATCCATACCTGGCACGGCATTTCTTCATGTTATTACCTAGAAAGGGAAACAGTAATGATTAATGCTACGATCGTGGATTGTTGGCAAGTAAGATTTACTATTCGACATAGTACATTCTGTCAAAAGAATGACGTAGTTATTGACATCGCCATGTGAGAAAGACGTGAAGAACCAACTCGAATAATCTATGATCACGTGGTGTAAAGAAAAAACAGATGTTTATATAATATATATATAATATAAATAAATGTTATATATTGACAAACCGTGCGAAATTGTCGTGTACGATTCAATATGCGGAAACGACGTAATCTACGTAGTATAGAGTGCCCGAGTTTTTGCGTTAAACGTACTTATGTTTTTGTGAATGTCAAATGAATTTAACGAATGTCAACTAGTCATGCGTGTAACAGAACGATGTTAATCCCTTGAGATCCAAGAACACCAATTATCATATGGGTTTTCAATCTTTCGAAAAAATATTTCTAAAAATTCGATCAATCCATACAGATTGTCTAAAGTTGTATATACACAAAAAATGTAATTTTAAAATTGAATACAACATTTTTTTTTAAATTAATATAACAAAAATTTATTTCGGTGTTATACGACCTCAAAGGACTGTAAACGATATGTCATAAGATCTTCATCGAAGACGCTATCGATATCAAATATAATATTAAAAAACAGATTTTATATAAAAATATGATATAAACAAACAAAAGTACAAGAATATGTTTTCGTAAATTTCTATTTCAGATGATTTCATATAGTAAGATTGATAGTCTTCGAGGAAGGATCCACGCATATTGACAAAGATGCGAATCATTTTTTTTGAAAGCGATGCAAATCCATTTTTAATGGTATAAATTTCAATATAAGACATTAAAATAAATTTATTTAATTTATTATTTTTTCAAACTCAGACTTACGTCACTTTCTAGATGAATGGCTTATCTTTGTCAAACAAATAATATAGCATGCAACGTTAACGTTAAAACAGCTTAAAAACACGATCAAAGATCTACTTGGTTGAAATGTCGTGACTTGTATTAAACATAAAAATTTCGGAATATATCTAAAGAAATATCGAAAATATTATGGATGTGAACGCTCTATCGTACGAAATTTTCGTATGTGGAGGTCGAGAATAAACTGAGTGACTCAATTAAGTGACGATAGAACGAAATAATAAAATTAGAATAAAAATCAAGGAATCCAGGCAATATTGAAACGATCAAAGAAAAATAAATGTACAAATTAAGAATCAAAGTATAAGAATAAAAAGAGTGATAGTAAAAGAGAATAATAGAGGGAAAAACGTAAAAGAGATAAATATTTATAAAATAAGAAAATGAGTGAATGAGAGAGAGAGAGAGAGAGAGAGAGAAAAAGAGAGAAAAAGGCTGAAAGAAAATTAAACGCTCAGGATTGTCTGATTGCGGAGTAGGTCCCTGTAAAAATGCAAAATGGCCAGCGTCCCCAAAGTTGTATACGTAATTAATAATAAAATGCATGGATGTTTGTCTCGATTGTGTGTGCGCGCGCGCGTGAGCATGTGATGTGTGCATGTCTCTGTCTTGTGCATAATGTGTGTCACATGTTGCCAATGTGTAATGCAGATATATAGGCACGCACGTGCGCATGCGAATGTGCACGTCCGTACTCGCGACTAATGTAAAAGACCATATATATATATAATAGAGTCACATTTATATATATATACATATATGTATATATGGACGTATATGCGTGTGTGTTTAATAATATAGTCATAATAAAATATATATGTATATATATATAATATATTATAATATAGATATCGACCCAAAACCCCTAAGACGGGGAGGAAACATGCAACATAATATAGTGTAGCAATATAAGAATGTATAATATAATATAATAGTATATATGTAATAATGAATAGGGTGGAGGGGGCGGGGGCTCTTTCCTTATGACGGGGGGATTGTAAGAATGTGTGGAGTGAGGCATGTGGGTACCTCCAGGATCACTGTTTGTGTCTTGTTTGCGCTTCCTCTTCTTAGTTCGGTTGGTATTTGCGCGGGAAGACCAGTCAGGGTACAGCTGCATGTGCAACTGTCTCTCCCGTCGCGCCAACTCATAATACTTGGCCTGTTCCTCTCGCCCTAGCGCGTGCCACTACCGAGAGAGAACCAAACACTTTTTGTAATTGTGCATGAACCGTGTGTGGACTAAACAATATTTTTAATCAAGAAAAAAGAAAATTCACTAATGCTACTGCCGCCACCCTAATTGTATAAAAATTAGCTAACTCTATTTAGAAATTAATTTTTTTTTATTACTTTTTCGTTATCTATTTTATTATTTTATTTTTTTTAGCAATATCTCGTTGCCTCATAGCATTTCAGTAACACTGGGGTCCCTACTTTCCGTTTAAAGTGCTAGAAGAACAGCCTAAGTTGTCCCCTCCCCCTCGGTCGCACCGCTATTCGTCGCATGTGGTCGATATTAACAACCTAAAGGCATACAGGGTGTCTGATAGAATACGACCTAGCGAGGAGATAGTAAAATATTTTAATGCAGTACGCGTACGGATGAAAAAGTGAAAGAGTAATAATGTTTGCATGTTTATACACTGAAGAAAACGTGTTCTTTGGACGCTATATACAATTGATATACTTGCAATCATTAGAAGATACAATTCTTAGGATATACATATTATAATAATATATCATTTCGACCAACTAATACATTTTTTTATTTATTAATTTAATTTTATACTTATCAAAGTACAATTGAGAGATTGAGAATTACAAATTTGTTATTATTAGACAATTATCGTGCTAGACGATTCAATCGGGTTTCACTATGAAAAATCCTTCCGATAATATGTACGCATTTTTCATACAAAAGATGCTGGTTCCTCCAGTGTATTTCCGTTTACTACCTGCCTCAATTCTTCTCCACGTATGTCATTGAAATAGTAGTAAAGGACTTCGATGTAAGACTTATGATAAAATACTGTCACTTCCCAAAAGAAACGTTTATTTCAGCTTTATATGTTATTGGATATTTACAAGAAAACGGAAGAGAAGAAATGAATTTTGAAGGAGGCGGGGTCGATGGACAGTTCTCGTTAAATCGCCATAGCATGACTCATCTTGGAAGACAAGCAAGCGTGAACAGATGTCGCCCCGCAGCGAAAAATAAAAAGGGGAAAAACGATCAGACCCTAGGCTCTACCAGACATCCCGTACCTAAGGCTTTGGTTTTCACTCTCGCTCTCGTTATCGCATCATCGGTGATATTATTTGTCTCGTCTCATTTCTTCTTGTTCACCGGAGAACGAATACCGCTTTAGGGAGTTTGGCCAGATAAAAAAAAAGAATTGCATTGCATGCCGCGAGAATCCGTGTTGATTTTCTTCCATTTTTTGTTTCTTATTTTTGTACTTTTCTTTTTTTTTTTTTTTTTTTTAGTTCTCTGCTGTGCCACATTCCACAATCCCCACAGACAATCCAATCCAATTAAGTTTCGAAAAATGAAAAAATATACATATATGCATATATGTACATATATAAAATATCCAAGAGATATACATATATGTCGATAAATATATATATATATATAGCCTGCACACGTTGAAAAAGATTGAATGCCAGAAAACAATAATAAATAAATAAATAAATAAACAACGCAAAAAAAGAAACGTACGAAAAAAGAAACGCACAGAGACTTTGATCGTTTCAATCAACCAGTATAGGTATATACTAGCAATTATTATATATGAATTATGAATTATTAAGGGCCTGCTGTTCTAGCACTGGAAAGTGGTACCTCCGGTGGGATCTGCGGATCGCTCTTTCTTCCTCTTCTTCTTCTTGCTGCCATATCCGTAGTTATCCCTAGCACTCCAGCCGGGGTATCGTTGCTGATGCAGATGGCGCTCCTGCCTGGCCGCCTCATAATACCGCGCCTGCTCCTCCCGACTTAGCGAGTGCCACTGCGTGTCATACCCCCAAAATTCAGATTCACAGATTCACAGCCTCACAGTACTCGTACTTATCACCGTGCACCGTCCCCATTATTTCTCCCTCCCTTTCCCTTTCTCTCTCTTTCGCTCTCTCTCTCCCTCTCTTGCTCAAACTTATTTATCACTAGCGACAAGTGGACAAGTCACTATCATTGACTCGTCACGTGTCCCATGAGACCCATAAAACCACCCTTCGGCCCTTCCCTTTTTGTCACAGCGTTCTTTCTATCAAGGCGAATCTGCTGAGATTTCCTTAGATCCCACCTACAATGCTCTATTTGTACTGAGATACTAGTAGGTACGGTTAGTTAGCTCCGATTAGTAACCCGATAGATGATTCGTTCGACAAAAGCATTAAAAACACATGCAATACTTGTATATCCAGAATAAAAATTCGTCTGGAATATTTTTAATAAACAGTCGATCAATATTTTCTCTTTATCATTCCAATGTTATAAAATCAAAATAATATAAAACTCTTGATGTCTAATATAAAAATTCAATAATCGAATCGGTTCAATATATAATGAAATTTATCTATAATTTATAAATAAATTTTTTTTCATTTATAACGATATAAGATACGATATAATTATATATCTAATCGTAAATTTAAGTTAACTAAATAAATTGCTAGAAATAAAAATTCTGCTTAGAAACAAATTTGTTTCTCGTCTCTGTTTTTCTCTCTACACGAAATATTTCAAAAATCTTGTTCCACTATGATATAAGAGAAAATATTGTGACTTTTGCAAATTTTAATTATTCTTACATCAGAGTGCAATAAATAAATTTTATTTATAACTCGAATATAAACTCAGCACTTTCTTACTCAAAATAATTTACGATATTCAATGAATAAAAAAATTCAAATTTGCTACTCCGAAGTAGAACAATTTAGTTTAAGTCTAAAAATATCTAGGTAAAAAAATGTACTCACTCGTCTTCCTAATATTTGGTTGATCGCAGCACTCTCTTTTAAGGTACACTCTGCCACAACCTTCGCCCTCATCTCCTTCATATACAGCATAAACGCATTCAAAGGCTTTTTTATATGGGGTTTCTTTTTATCTGTCAAAACATCAACACAATTAAATAAACCATCCACTTCGATCAATATCAAGCCTTCTAATACTACGATTATCCACATGTGATTTCAAACCCTTAAATCTTTACCTTGATTGTTTTGTTGTCCTGTATCCTGAGCTTTTGCGTTGTCCGTAGGTAACGATGTGGAGTTTTTCTGCTCTATCGTTGACCTGCAACACATATGTAAGACTCAATGATGAATATGTTGGACGTGATTAACGCCGATTCTACAAAGCCCATCAATCACATTTGTGTACCGTTTATTGAAGTAGGACTGTTTAACTTCGGAATTGAGGGGTTCAGATTTCGCACAGGACAGAGGGTAAGTCGGTGTGGAGTTCTGGGATAGCTGGTCAGACAGGTTCGGTGGCGTCGGCGTCGGCGTCGTTGTTGCGCCGTCAAAATAGGATGGCGCGGTCGGTGGTAGCGTCAGCGGGCTCCTCAGAAAGCTCTGTGGCAGTGGCCAGTTCATCTGCTGCCACATGCGATGTCGTGCCTCCACCATCGCCAGCAGCTGCATAAAGCTTTGCTGTTGCTGCTGGCTGGCGCCGTATGGCGGCGGCGCAATGCCGCGCGGCGCGCTTAAGCTCGACATTTGCACGAGACTGCTCATGTAGAGCGCGGTCAAGAGTTTGTGATCCGCGGTTGGTAAACCACCGGACTCGGCGGACTTGACAGCGTCCTGGAGTATCGCCATATTATCCTCGATCGCGCTCTCTTCAGCCACAACAGCGTCCTTCTCCTCCTCGTCGATCGACGCCTCTGCGATTTTCACCCCAATCACAGTCCTGGTCGGCCCGCTGTCTTCAGTGTCGTCCTTTTTGATCACTAAGTTCAGCGGCTCCAGGCACTCGGCTGGCTCCATCGCCACATACGGGACTACCTCGTGCTTACTCGTGGGCCGACCGTCGAAGTGATCCAAATCGATCCATGGAACGATCCTAAATGCTACACGATCTCACTCGGTCGGTTCCGAGTGCTGTTGCTCGGAAATTAATTATCACGAATCAAATCACCGTCCACTTTCAATAACATCAGGGCCTCAGATCCTTTTTTTCGTATCAACTCTCAGAGGCCTCATCTCACTCGCGTTATTCCTCATCGAGTCCGGAAAACGACACGCTCATCATTCGCAGCATCGCACGTAGACAAGCTGATTTGGGTCCAGCTGCGGCACTCGACAATTTACACTCTTCATTCACATCCGCGCGCTGCGTCGTGTTAGAGCGAGCGCGTAAAATGATGAAACGGAGCCCCGTAAACCGGTCAGCGTTGTAAACAGCACGTACGTGGTGGCGCACACTTACGCGCCGTCCGTGGTGGTCCGTCAGACGCTGGCGGCAGCCTCGCTCCGCCGGAAGTCTCCGAGACGTACGTGGTAGCCGTCGCATTTGCCGCGAGTCGTATGTACGTCCGACGTGCCTAATGACACCGTCATTGCTACCCTGTCGTTGATCGGCTTCATTTACACGTTCGCGTCCACCAGTCGCCGCTTTGGCAGCGCCAGTCGTTGACGCGACTTCGTCACCCGGCGATTCGTGCGGTGAAATGTCTCCAGGGGCGGCATCCCACGGTCACCCATTCGTCATATCTCTCTCTCGCTCTCTCTGTCTGTCTTCCGCCCCCTCTTCTCGCCACCCTCTCTCTCTCTCTCTCTCTGCTTTTCCCTTTTTACCCCCTTCCCCTCCCCGCTCCTCCTGCCGCCAGTAGAGGGTTGGCTCTATATACCTACCAAACACCCCGTCTATCTCATCGACGACTATAGCGCGCTCGTTCCGTTATATCACGAAAACGCACCCTCTCGTCTCGATTTTCAGTGACGTTTGACGCGTAACGCCCGCACGAAAACTCTACGCTTTCCTGATACACGTCGACACCTCGTCTTCCTCCCCGATCTTGATTTCCGTTTATCTCCAGCGTGCTTTCGCGTATCCTCACGCCGGATTATTCTTCGCGCACACGGTATCCTGTATCTCTCTCCCACTTTCCGGCGCGTCTCAAACGCGCTCGTTTCTGGCGTCAGCGGAATCACCACCGACCGGTGTTACGACGATTGATTATCGGCGAGTCTGGGGGTGGTCGGGGGAATTGCGCGAGGGGGGAGGGCGGGTAGTGCGGGGTTGCGCGAGGGTGGCATCGCGAGATGGGTGGCATCATCGCGATTCATGGCTCTCGCGGCGATAGAGACAACCCTACCATCAGCCGGTTCTACAATTCTGGCAGCGCGTGGGGGGGACGCAGCGAATATCGCATTCTCTGTGGCCTTCTTCTTCTACGTGCCTCTGTGACTCTTCCTTTTCTGACCAATTGTCGTGGCGCTGCCGTCGACCACTGATCAACCTGGGTATTCCGCTGCCACTCGCCAGCAGTACGGCGAGCTAATAAGATGGATCACTCGCGAGTACGATAGTGCTCTACTCGAAGGAATTTTGTCCTTTTTCGATATCAATGTTCCTCTCGAGGGATCTTTGTACCTGATTCCATGTATATGGTCACTGAACAAGCGACGGTGACTTTTCGAATTTTGAATTTTTGCACTCACGTTGACTAATTACTCTTGTTCTCAAATGAAATCAACAAGATATATGAGTCTCTGTAAAACACAGCATTCTCACAGTACATTCACCAAGAATTAAATTGGAAGCATCCAATCTGTTTTTCTGAATAGAAAATCAAAGACTCTTTGTATCACAGATGCAGCGGCAATAGATTGATGTGGATGCAAACGTACGCATATAACGAATTTATGAAAATTTGAAAATGCAATTCTACCATCTTTATAGATGTGTTGCTGATAGATTGGGAAGATGAGTCAGCTGGTCCTTCATGATGCCTCGCACTTGCGCGCAGTATATATGTAGAGAGTATGAGAGAGAGAGAGAGAGAGAGAGGGAGAGAGAGCTGGAGGAAGACAGAAGCACAGAGAGAACAGACGCAAAGCGCGTACGTCGCACGCGACCACGCGTCTTTGTATGTGCGCGAATACGGGGCAAGCGATCGCCCGGGTACTAATGTAAATTAGAAATCTGTTTAAGAGGTAATGATCAATACATAACTGGCGGCGGTGGCGGCGGCAGCGTCGGGGTAGCAGGCGCAGACGCTGTGTAGAGAGAATCATTCGATAAGTGTTATACGTGCTCTCTCAACTAGCGAAAGAGTAAAGAGTGCACGCGACGAAGGGTTCAGCCGAACATTCCGGGGTAGTCGAGACGTGCTACCCCCTACGATCCTCGCGCCGCAACTATCCTCATCCTCGACACGACGCTTCCTTATCAGCAGACGCGCTGCGTTGGTACATGACCCGTGTCTTGCAGCTGTCAGCGCAATTCGGATGTTATTATCGATCGTCAAGCAAAAGCACCAACCAACGCATATAGCGCTTCATGGGATACGACTGCATCGGCACACAATCGTGAGGTGGTTAGGAAGATTCTCGCAGAATTTTACTAAATGTTTTCCGACGGATAATATCTGCAGAATGGTCAAGAATATCCTTTTAACAGAATGCCACTTGATGGTAGATAACATCTATTAATAATAGTTATCCACTGATTTGTTCAGTAACAGCGTTCTTCTTATGACTCAATAAATTGTAAATTAATAATAAATTGAGTTGACATAATACAACTATCATAATATATTCCTAGTTGTTTTTGTGATGCAAGATTATCCAATTTGAAGTAAATGTTTTCTTAATGAACAAAATTGTGTTTTATCATAGCGGCTCTCAGTAGATCTATTTCATTTTCTGTATTCACATTTATTTCAATACATACACGGAAGTATGTATAATTATTTTTTAAGAATATTGTTTAATGCCGGACAAAACTGAAATTCTTTCTTCCATATAGATTATTTTTTATATCATTCAATTTATTAACTCGTAGAGTCATCGTATATTGTTAGTGTGCAAGTAAAGGACGACGTGCGACGTATTATAAATTAATTATAATCCCGCTACAGAGAGTAATTAATCAATGATGGTATTGCAAGCACTGGTAGATAAAACTGTTCCAAGCGGCAAATTGGCAAGTTCATTAATTGTTTTTGAAAGTTTATGTCGCATCGTTTCAAAGATTATGGCACTTCTTTTTGCCGCATGTCCCTTTCTCTTTCTTTTGTCTTGTACATCAAACGTATAATAGATATCATCATGATAATTGATTGTTAAGATCGTTAATATAAACTGGATCACTCGTAAGTTATTGCTTTAAATGTTTTGATATTTTTGCGACTATAGTCTTCGGCGATGCCGGAAACGAGGTAAACTTCTTCGTGGTCGAATCCCGCAAAATTTATCGAGCGGAGTGGAAGGACAAAGGACATCAGGCATTAAACGGAAATAATCGATGCCGGCTTTGCTGCTAGTTGTTCAGATGTCGCCAGCGATACGAAATTGAGAGTCATAACGAACCTGTGATTGTGATCCAGGGTGGAGTGATCCGCCTTTGGCGCTGAGGATACCAACGCGTGTGACGCTAGCGCGTGTGCGTGTGGACTCAGACCAGGATGCGGAGGCATAAGGCCCGTCGGTGAAAACCGGTAGAGATCACTGGAAAATCAAGGCACAGTTTTTAATCTCGAAAGTAACATTTCCAAATAATGGCAAACAAGCGCGGCGAAAACGATTTTTATCGATATCAAATACTTTTACTGACCTTGGTAAACTAGAACTTGTGATGGGTATCGTGGGATATGGACTTCGGAAGCCCGCATTTGCCGGCGAGATGGGATACATGCTCGGTGTGTGCCTGTAAATATTTATTTAATTAAGTTTTTATCATTGCTGGAAATGTCTCCGGAACGAGAGTTCTCGTAAAATATTTCCTCGAAATTTGGACGCTAGCGGAGAATTTTCTAGGAAATTAATTAATACATTTATACATGTATATATATCTGTTCGTTTCATAACATCGACCATTTTGCCATATCTGTATGAATAAATTATATACGGGGAATGGTATTTGTAAAATTGTACGTAAATTATATTTTGAAGTCTGATAAATTTTTGATGGAAAAAAATCAAAATATTAAAAAAAATTTAATTTTTAGCAATTAAAAAAGAGAAAAATAAAATAAAAATAATTATTTGTAATTTAAATATTGCTAAATTTGGATTATTTCCTTAATCAAACAACTGATCAATCATTGATAATAATTTTAATTACTCTTATAAAAAATGTATAATTTTGTGATATCGCGCAAATGCGATATCGCAACTAATTCATTGAGCAAAAACGTTAAAATAATATTTGTAAAGCATCGCGCGACCAGCAATACAGTTAATTAATTATGATTAACGTTACAAACTGCTTCTCATAAGAATAATTAGTTCGTGTCTCCTGCGCTGTTCGCATTTCTGTTGTCAAGAACACAGAAACCAGATCCATGCACTTCGCGTAATAAAAACGCTGCCGACTTTCTCATTATTGCAAGTGGCCTCCTCTCACACTTCTCTCTTTTCAAGGATAGGCGCTATCCCTTGAAAACCGCGAGAGTTAAATTCTGTGCACACAGTGACGGCGACGTCCAAACAGTTTTCCGCGCGCTAGGTTGTCGACCGAATAAGGATGTTGTGGGTCCTTCTAATTGAGAAGAAGAAACCTAATCACCCGTGGAAAATCGCAATTTGGGACGATTCGGGCGTAAAGCAAATAACGAACAGGGGAAACGGCGGCTTCGAACGAAAACCTGATCGTAAGGACCTGTCTCCTTGCGAAAAGAGGGTGACGTCTATGAGGTCCAAAAGGACGAGGCAAAGTTCCGTATCTGATGTAATAGACCGGAACTGAGGACGACTGACCAACAACAGCCCGCACTTATCCAATGTCCAGATTTGTCAGATTAGAAAACTGAACTGGAATGTGAACACACGTCGTGTCTTATTTTAAAGGTAGACACAATCTTATAATTGACATTGTTAGAAATATCGTAATGGAAGCCGTTAATAAAAAGTCGGTTTTAAATAAGTGAGACTCCGTGAGAATCGTTATTGACGAGAGGAAATTAACAAGATCAGTGGGCATATTTTGAACCGCAGAAACTCTAACGACGTTTATCATGCAAATTCGCGCACTTTACATTAAAAGAGAATTTATTTTAAAGCGAAAAATTTATCGAGAAGACTCGTCATGTAACGTTTTCCTTGTATTCTTGTATTTTGCTGTTACTTTTTATGAATATTTAGTAGCCTTTGTGCACAATTCACGATATACGATCTGCGTTTGAGTGTCGCGATTTTAAATCGCCAAGAATCGCTTCGGCACGCGATCGAAATCCGATGCTCTCCATTACTTTTCATTTGCGTTACTGTGAAATACGAATCGATTGTTTAACGCGTAATTAATATAAAATACAATATAATGTATACACGTATATGTACGTATACACGCGGGAATGTAAAACGATTCTTGTTCTATGGACGCGCGCGTTTTGCATCACGAAATTGAATATTGCTCTCAACACACAGTTGAATATATGTTTGATTAAAATTGAAATAATATTACGTTATATTGTAATGCAACCAATCGTAGAATAACATCGATGTAATTGTATTGCGCATTAAATTGAAGCTTTTATCAAACTATAGGGTATTAATATAGATATAAAAAAATTAACAAATAGTGTTTGACGTAAAATTCTACACTTAAATATTTTCACTTACCAGGACGCGACTTGCGTCATTTCTGGACTAAGCATGGGGTATGGATACTGGCCCGTTGAGAAGGGGTACATTGGTGCTCTCGTGAGACCTATAAAAAAAAAAAGAAATTTATCGAAATATTTTTAGATTCAATGTCAAATAATCAAAATTTTTTTCCCCATTAACTCTACATATTTCATATATGTATTTTATTTTTTCTCCTTATCTTGTTCTCTAAATTTCTTAAAGTGAAATCTCATTCTAAGAGAGTTAAAATATTATCAACGTTCAAAATAGTGAATAATTTGCACTCTTGAGTAAGAGTAATAGATTTTCACTCTTCTTTGAAGTAAGATTCATTCCAAAGAAGACTCTTTTTTTTAAATCTTATTCTAAAAATGTAAAATTTTACTATTAAAAAAAAAAATGAAAATCTGCCATTTTTATTCAAGAGTGCAAATTTTTTACTCTTTTTCAATAGTGGCAGTGTTTTAAAGTGAAATGTTACTCCAAGAGGTTTAGAAGTTACAGGATCGTTAGATATAACTTATTTTTGACCCACAAAACTTTTTTCGTCACGTTCCTTCACTTTCATTCTTATATTTTCTATTTCTTTGATAATTAAGATTGAAGAGTCTCGTGAATTAATGTGCCGAACGTTAGAACACAAAATAAATCTGCCATTAATCACGGGTACATCTCGTACCCGTGATTAACGGCGTCATAACGCGTTTAATCTATCATTAGTCGGCAGCGTGACTAATTTTACGGTCACTAAGTGATGACGTTCAATTTAATAGCGGTGAGATAGCAAAAGACTGAATCGGTATCAAATGAATGCACGGAAATTTCTTTACGCATTCGCGGCAAACACAAGTAAATTTTATTGCAAGATATGTTTTTCTAACGGCTATTAATTAAAAAAAAAGTTTATGTATTTATTTCTATTTATAAAAGATAAAAATCTATCTCTTAAAAGAAAATTTTAAATCTGAATAAAATGCGTGCGACTATTTCGTAGACAACAGCGATTTTTTCACAATATATTGTAAATTACTGATGTTATTATTATGAATGTTAAAAACTCGATCTATTATAGTTTTGGATATCATAAAATGTATCCATATTTTGACAGTAAATACACACGAAGTAAATACTAGCGTGCGCGATGAAATAAAAAAAAACTGAACGAGAAAAGAAAAAAAACTATGTTTTTACTATCGTGTAGGTTTGTAATATAAACATACGAAGTGAGAGAGGTCGAGCTTTCTCTCTTTCGTAGCGAGAGAACGAACATTGATCAGCGTGCGCGGCCGCACCCTCTGTAACTAGCACCCAACACGAAGTGAAATGCACACGCCATCGGGATCGTCGTCCAAAGAATAGTCGTTGTTGAAATTTAATGCCGTATAATTCATCCCAGACCGATGAGCGATATCGATATTAATACGATTTTTACATAATTGCGATCGATCAAGCCACGTTACATTGATTATAAGATATATGAAACAGTCCGTCACAGAAATTTGTTAAAAAAGCTTGTTTGATTGTTTCTAAACACAAAAAATTAATTTCGTTTCTACTGATGCAGATTAACTTTAATCTCGGTTCAATTTACTCTTCTATTTCTTAGAACTATAGAAAAAAATAAAGAATAAATTGAACCGAGATCATTTATTCTATCTGTCACGGTCATATATAAGTGATCGAACATTGGGTAATGTTACATAAGCAGTTGATTCACGATTATCTTGTAACGTGTGAGAGAAGCTCGTAAGAAATTAATATCACAATTTTTTTTAACTGACGACCCGAATTGAAGCTAAGACATCTGTAGGATTTAATAAAAAAAAAACATATATATTTATATTTATATTTAATTGTATTATATATTTCTATTTAAGCACTCTTTTATCTGTGTTTGATTCTTACTGTCATTTTGTAAGATTTTGAGTATTACTTTATGTAAAAAAGTCTTTCAAGATAATTTAATTTATTTATAAAGTTAATTTACATTGATAGAAACAAACATCAAACATAATGCTAAATAATTATATTTTTTATAAAAAATAAAATAGTACATATTATAATTTTATTTTTAACAAAATGTTCAATTGCTAATTTTTAATACTTTATAATAAATCATTTATTACCAATACTTTAATTATTTGAACAGTTTTCCTGTTAAAACCATGACACTTGCAATTTTAGTAAGAGTACACGTAACTCAAATCGGGGGTAGGTTTAAAGTTTACAGCACTCGGATAACAAATTGTAAAATTAGATGTACATGGCTCTCACAGGTTTGAATAACGGACAAGGTATATCGCTTTTACATTGGTATCTAATGTAACTAGTACGTGCCGCGGAACCGATCGCGGCTTCAAGAGAGCTCGGGAAATGTTGGGCGCGGATATAAGTGGGGTGCCTTTGGCGAGGCGAAGTGTAATTGGCTTCATAAGGGTCGACGAGAAGCGCCCGGAATATCGGCAAGCCTGAAACCGCTTGACGAGGCCAATACGTCCCCCTCTCCCCCCCCACTACCCCCCCTCACTCTCTCTCTCTCTCTCGTCGCCAATCCCTTTTTCTCTTTCTATGTCATTCGGCGAGTATAGTATACGCGAACGGATTGGATGGACTCTCCAGTCTGTTTCCACCACGTTCCTTTTTGCGTTTTGCGGACGATCATGTCCCGAAGGCATATTCCCCGTGACAATCTGGCTCTTCTCTCTCTCATCCCATCGCGCGTGCTGAAATCGGTCAACGCGTGGTTTTCTCCGGATAGGGCCACTCTCAATCCCCAGCTCTATAATGACTGTCGACTGATCGACCGTAAAGAGATCGGACTTCCGTCTCCCGTTTGCGTTGGAATAACGAAGCGCTGCTACATTTCGCGAAAACAATTGTGATTTTGAATAATCGTGGCCGTATTCTATTTTTGTCCATTGTGACTTTGTGTATATAGACTGATTCTTAAATAGCAAAAAGTAGCCTCAAACATATATATTTCTTTTTAAGTAATCAGATTAGTCGAACAATTCTATCTTTCTTTTTTATTATCCTTTTTTGTAGTTACATTTGTTATCTCTTTTGAGAAACCAATATATTAGTTTTATTTCACGACATTATTTGTAATACCGACAGAAAAAGATAAAACGATTCGACGACGTATGTAAAACTCGCTGGAGCTTTTTTGTACAATGGAGCTACTTTCGATCTTCGCATAACGACGATTAGCCACTCGACTGTAACGAGACCGGCTCCCACTCAGCCCCGGGCTTTTAATCTCATTTGAATAACGAAGCACACTCGAGCCCGTGAAAACAATGGCTGCCGAAACGAAATTTAATCCCACGTAAAAGTAATAATCCGATATTTTATCTTGCGCACACGAATTTATGTGTCGCGTGCAACACGATATATCCGTCTGTCGTTTTACGTATAAATCGTGAAATAAATTACACATTATGTGCATATGCGAACACTCCAATTTTTATTACGTTATAAGTACTAGTTTATATTATTTACTTTTTGATTTCAACCACTTTGATTTTATTAAAAGATTTAAAAAAAAAAGATTTAAAGTTCAATTGTTGCTGTCTTCTTTATGGAAGAGCTATTGATTTCACTACATGTATTTGCTGAAGATGACTCGAAACAAGAGTCGAAACGTATAAGGTGCTTTTGAAGATTTAAATTAAATTTCGCAATAACCAGCGGTAGACACTCATATATTACCTGTTACTTATTGTTATAATTTACAATCGTAATTTGTTAAAGTTTAATATCGCATCTATGATGGTAATGCGGAATAAGAAGACGAGATGAAAAACTAAAATTTCTCATATTCAATGAACTTTCAAACAAGCGATTGAGAACGAGCAGGATTAAAATCGTGCAAGCATGACATAATTTCAGTTATAATGATAAAAAGAACCTGAAGGTGAGTCTGCTCATCGTTGGGTAGCTCGAAATGTGTATTCGTTAGAGCACGAAAGCTCTAATACGGTGCCAGAGAATACCGAAAATCGGGAGTATATATATAAGTACAAAAAGTGAGTGAGTACAAAATATAAGAAAAACAGAGACGAAAGACAACGAAGGACCAAGAAGATGCGAATGAGAGAGCGAAGAAATAGGATAGCGGAAAGAGGTGCCTCGTAATATCCTGACGAGTCCGTAGATTCCGTCATGTGTGCTTAATCACTTTCCAGTTGACTCGGCAGTCTGCAACCCCATTATCGGCATCTCACCATCCGGAAAATTACTCTTTTATTCTCGAACAACTCAGGTTCCCGATGTTCCGTGTACCGCGATATTCTCTTTTTCTTTCTCTCCTTTTATTTGCTCGCTTCACTCTTTTCCTGCTTCCATCCAAGTCGATTTTAACTCGGCTGGTGCTCGAGAGTTCTTTTTTCCAACCGTTTCTCGTAGCTTCGCCCAACCCCGCGAGCGAATTCGTCTATTTCGCTCTATTAAACCTTATCGTCGTGAATTCTATCCATCCGGCTTCGGGAAACCGGTAGTACAGGTTCAGAAACTGAATGAATGCAATGGAAATAAGAGTGGAAGCGGTGAAGCAGTCTAAAAAGAAATAGCAAAAATTATCCCTTTTTTCTTTAAGAAATTTTATCTACTAATATATAATTACCCAATTTTCGTTTTTTAAAATTTTATTTCTTTTAAATTGTAAAATATAGTAAAACATCAATTACACAAAAATTTGATAAGGTTGATAAAACCACAAAGAATAAGACATATGCAGTCATAATTTTTGCAAACGATTTTATTCATATCAAATACATTGAGATGTTATTGAGATATAATAGCATATTAAAAATTTTATAGCATTTTTAGTATATATATAAGTACACTGTAAAAAATAAAATGTTAATTTTAACATTTTTGCATCTCAGAAAATCCAGTCAACGTCTTTGAGTTAAAATTAACATTTTATTTTTTACAGTGTATAAAAGTATTTAGTTAAGTTTTTCAATCTTAATTAAAATAAAAAAATTGTTTTTGTACATAATATCATGAAATTAACATTGTGTATTTTGAGAAATCTATTTCTTGCAATTAATCGTCAGAATTTTTCTTGAAATGTATCGAGAATTTTAAAATTCATTGCAAAAGAAGCAAAGTACATAATTTATTAAAATCTTAAATGTGTGGTTATTATTGTTGTTCTTGGTGATGAGAAAAATAAAATAAAAAGATTACAAAAGCCATAAAATCATAGCAGTCAGCAAATTAGGGAGCGTATCATCGACAAGAGATTTAATAAGAAGTAAAGTGCAGACGCTGCAAAAGGGTACTTCGATTGCGGTTATTTACCTTAAGACCGGTACATACTAAATCTAAATCCTTTCTCTGATATTGATTTTGCTCGAAACAAATTAATGTTATTCAATATCAATATTAATTAAATCTCAATTGAATAATCAATCAAGCTTTTATTCAAGTTACTTTTATAAAATACAGTTTTAATTATTAACTTATTAAGGTTGTTAGTAAACTTTAGTTTGCATATTCAGATTGCAAAATACAGAATCATTGTTAATTATAAATTGCCGCTGTCAATTATAATAAACCGTGAGAAATAACATATTCAACAAAAAACTAAGCAAATCGGTCTTTTGGTCATTTTCCAAACTGTGACATGCAAAGATTTACACATAAAAAATGTATAGTAAAAAAGAAATGTGAGAAAACCTAAAAAAAATAAAAACAAGAGAAGGACATGGACATCGGTATAATAATAAATATAAAAATAGATTAAAAAAAAAAGAAAAAATAAGGAAAAAAGAATATGACGGAAGAAAGAGAAAGAGAGAAGCTAAGCGGATCAATGGCGAAGCTCTGTTGAAACGAAACGTCAGGATTGTTATTGGTGGCCGTGTCTCCACCCTTTTTACGTTTCATTCCCTCCTATTTTTTTTCATTTGCGTTACCACTTTCCTTTCTTTTTCCATCCGCTCTCTTTTGCTTGTTCTTTACCATGAAGTTTTTAAATAAATACGTGCAACAGAGATCGAAAAGTAAAGCTAATTAAAAAATACATCCGTGTAAAGGAAAATAAATCGTAGAATAAATCGCAAATTAAAAATAAAGAAAAGTAAGACGAAAAGGGACAGGAGGAAAAGAAAAGAGGATCGAGAGACTAGAGAATAAATGTAGAGAAGAAGTAGAGAACAGAGCAGATGAAGTGCGGAACATAGGATGAACGGGAGGAAAGAAAAATTTTTACCACAATATTCAACTGCTAGCGGAGAAGAGATTGGGCGAGTAGGTGGTGGGTTCGAGAAGTATTAAAAGTAGGGAGATTGTCGTTCCAGAGCGACAAAGGAAGGGGCATAAAACAGGATGAGGTCGAGCTTCAGTTTACTTCGCGAAGAGTAGAGACGGAATGTTCCCTTGTTTGCAAGACAAAGAACCAGAGCCGCCGTGCATGCATAAACGCTATCAACATCATCTACATATTTCAGAATTTAGGAGGTAAAGAATATCTTATTCGTACTTATTTATAGACAAAATGATAAGAAAACCCTTCAAGTTTTTTGACAAAGAAATATATTGAGAAAGAGTGAAGCGACGAAAACTGTCTTAAGATAAGTTAGCAGAAGCAATGTTTAAGCTCTTTCAGTGATGGTGCTACTTCAAAACTTTTCAAAGTTGTACCTAAAAACTAAGTTGGCGATGTATCAACAATAACACCATGATAAATTGAAGTTGACAGAAGAGAAAAGCGTTTGAAAGATAGAACGAGAGCAGAATTTATCAAAACTGAATAGGTGGATTAAAAAAAACTACCTTGACCCAGAGGAAAGCTGCATGCTTGCTGATTAGCCTAATAGTGAGTTCTCCCTCTTCCTCTTATCATACTTGACGCCAATTTGCTGCTATCTTCTCTTTCTTTCTCTGTATCTCTCAAAGCTCTCTTTAAAGATTATGCCGTCCTCTTCACAATCACTCTGCATTTAAATCTCGACATCACCGTGCCTCTTGACTTGATAAGAAATATTCCTTCAATTAAACGTCGAAGTATCAATGCAGACTTTTTAGCTCGACTCAATTCGAGAGCATGAAAAATACGTTCGCGATTAGCCTCAAGAGAGAATCAAACGCACTTAACAATAAAGACATTTCCATGTTGTGCAACGTGCAATGTCTCTATTCAGAAATTTACAAACTTGATACCAGTGCTACACCAATACGAACTGCTATGATCACTTTAGATTTATTTATATTACACGTAATTCGGTATTTCGATTCTACCGAATCGTTATAACGAAGATTAACGTGTGTTAACGTGGTTGCAAACGGTTTGCGCAAAGGCCAGACACAAGCTGGACTCGCTTGGGTCGGGTTGTAACGGCCATGTTAATATTTGCGCAGCTCGATACAATAAAATTATATATAAAGCTCTCTCGACGCGGGGGCGGAGCGTGTCGATTACGCGAGCGGGGACGAGAAGTATTCCATCAATTACAATTCGAGAGGAACGTCAATATTTGGCCGGACAATAGCGGATTAACTTCGTGAAAGAATTGTTGATTCAACCGATACGTATTGGGGATATCGAGACTATGAGCGTGTTGTCAGTAGTTGAAAGTTCATGTTGAAAGCGTCGAGTGAGATTTTATATTATTAACGGCTGTATATTTGGGATCGAGATATATTGCGAAATGTGATGATATGTAAACGCAATTGATGTATATCGTTTAAAAGTATATAAATTTGTAATCTTTGTCAATGTCAATATGTTACTTCCTACTTATAAAAATAATACTTTGCACATTTTACGGCACTATAACAGATAATTATAACAAATTTTATAAATTCTTACTTGGTTTTAACAAATCGATATTAATGCCAAAAATAAATGATTTCGGAATAGTTAAATGTTCCAGTAATACAGTATGTATCAACGATTCACAGTTCGTAAATTTATAACCTTCCACATGTATGATTCCATACATTCAAGTCAAAGTTGGAAAATGTAAAGTTTTTTTTTTAAACAAAATATTGTGGTTTTTCAAAAATATGTTTTTGAATGTTTTAAACAGGATTTTAAAAAATATGCATGAAACGTGTGTAAAATATTGATTAAACATATATTTTGAATATAAAACATAATTTTTATCAATCCTGATTCAAATAAACTAGAACCAAGTAAGTTGTTCTAGCAAGAAAACGGGCTATGTAAAATGACTGCTGGGATAACTGTCCCTATTATTATATGTCTGCTAACGTGCCTTTGTATTTAAATAAACCATAAAAAATCTAGCATAAATAAATAAGAAAAAGTGTTTGTTCTTATTAAGTTAAATTATTAATGTATGTATATACAATACCAAGAATAATATTGTACTTTTTAACTATTGAAGTACCTATAGTAAGTACTTTTAAAAAGGTACATATTACAACTTTGAAGAATTTATGTGAGTCCAGTAATACCGCAAGATTTTAAACTTGCCCCTATTAATGTCCTGTATTAGAGCAGGGAGCGTTACGTTATAAATGTACATTGAAATTGAAAATATAATTAAAATAACGATTTATGCAATAGTAACTTAAACAATTAGCTTACAAATTATCTGTTCTAGTAATTATATGTTAAAATAAGTCTAATGCAAATAGGCACAAGAAATTGGAGACACATTAATAAAGTATATGCTATATTCTTGGAGAGCACACCATAGAGATAAAAAAATTTTTTTGATCGAAAACATTATGTGAAGTATTAATATTTTTTAAGTTAAAAAAATATGCTAAGAAAAAGAAATAACTAGAAAACCGATATTCATTTCAAGTAGAAAAAAAGTTAATTTAATAATTAATTCAGCAATATATATATTGTAAGATGGCTTAAAGGCACACTAATAAGGACAGTTACCCTAACAGATAGTTGAAAAGTACTTACCAGCCGCGGCGGCCGCCTTACCCGCGTCCAACGCGCCGTAAGGTGGTATACCCATATGGGCGGGAGGAGGTTGCGTCAGGTGGTCTCCATTCGGACAGAAGAAGGGCAACCCGCTTGGATGCGTCCCCGCCAGGCCCATCTTGCTCGCCTATAAAATAACAAGATTTAATATATAACTATTTATCATATATATTGTTATACTTGACAATGTGTCAATATATCAAAATATATATATCAATATCTTAGTGCAAAAGTAATCAATGTTATTCTGTAATTTTTTGGAATGTCGTTCCACGTGAGACTGAAGTAATCGACAGGTTGCGAGTTCAAATTCTGCAGCCAATATACTACATACAGAAAAATTTCCGTTCAGATCTACGAAATTCTTTTAACTAGGTTCAACATATAAAGAATGATAAGATTCTATATATTTACCCTCCCACTACTACTATTCTGTAATTTCGCTGTATATCAAAGAGATATTTAAAGTTGCTGCTGCAATATATACTCTCTTCAATACAATATACATATATTCAATACAAAAGTGTAGATTAAATATCAATATTATATTACATGCAGATTCTGCTATGACTCGGTAGTTTATAATCGGTGAATCAGAAGCGAGTGGATAGAAGCGACTAAAGGATAATCGGCGAGATCGTGATTGGTCAAAATCGATAGAGTTAGCCAGCAGTCAGCTTTTAAGACTACAGATTATTGATTAATTGAATCAGCATAAAACGTAAAAATTAAAATCTTTAAGTTTTTAACATTTATTGTGTTAGGTATTAATAAAACATTACGTCCATAGTAATGTGTGTATAAATATAAATAAAATAATAATAGATCCATATCTAAATGTTGCTGCGAGCATCGTTAACTCTTATCGTTACGCCGATATAAATTGTCTTATCTGCTTACGGTACTTGCTTTATCACGCACGCGTGATACAGTATACATAATACGTTCGAATGAGTGAATCGCACGAGTGCATTCAGGTGGTAACGTCAACGATGTAAAAGGTGCAAGGATACCGTTAAGGATTCACAGTTCACTCCCGGAAGAAACACAATATCCAATTCAATTCGCTCCAAAAGGGAACTTATTGAGAAGTGCTTATCGAGGACCAGTTCGAGCGTTAATTTGCAAAGATCGCATGCAGGATTGCGGAGGGAGGGATGTATTTCTCGAGGGTTCGTTTAATCTTTCCGTCCGTTCGCCTCGACGCAATGTCGGCGACGTATCGTCGGAATTGAGTGCCCTTCTTGAGGACAGTAGCGTAACCCACCCACCACTTGTTCAACCTCCCTTACCCTCTGGTCGCTCTTTGTCAAGTGACAGTCGATGAAATTGGTTCAATCTGCTCGTAAACTCGCAAGATCGCGCACGATTCCCTGCTCTTTGCCGTTTCTTTTCATTCTCCTTCTTCCGTTTCTCTTTTCCGCGGGCGATCGATATAAAGGCTCTCGAGAGGTTGTCTCTTATCAGCCGCGGTGCTTACCATAAGTGCGGCGGTATCGCGCATCGATCTGACCGCCAGTAGAAGTCCCGGATCGAGAGGTTCTCTTTCCATCCAGAGTAGTACTCTTGAGAGAAGTCCTACAGCCTCCTCGGCGGTAGGCTCATCCTCGCCGTCATCTTCCTCAATGCCGTCATTCCCGTCTTCTTCCTCGTCTCCATTACGATCCGACCATCTGTCCGTCTCTACTTCGATTTTGACCCGGCAGTGTTGTTCCTCGTCTGGTTCTTTTTTTCTAACAAGCCGCGCCAGCGCGCTCTCTTCGTCAAGAATCCAACTGCCGAGTTCGTCATCGGTGATCTCCAGTCCGATCTCCCTGGCGAGACTTTGAAATTCGACAAGTAGCATTCTGTCCTCCTCTTGATCCACCGGATGGATTCTAGGCGGCAATATGGCGCCATTGCATCCCGCCAGCGGATGATCCTCGCGATCACGCGGTAGCGTCCAGCTGCGAGCAAATGTCTCCGATCGAACACTGAGCCATGCGCGATGAAGATCCGCGAATGCTTCCTTTAGCGTGAATTTTTTTAAGTACGCGTCTAATCGGTGATCGCTGTCCTCTTCGGGCAAGCCCAAAACTGACGGAAATTTATCGCAGTAAATGCTGCAGCGTACTCTCGATAATATACCTGACGCCAGACGCACTCTCAACTCTCGGACCACCAGTCGCGTTTCCATGCAATCCTTCGGTACAACAAACAGTCGTACAAGACCGTCTGCAGCGACGCAATCACCTTCCGGTGGCAGATAATCGGCACTTTCGGCTACCAACACGGCACCGTCAGGATGCATCGCCATCGCCGTGACAGCAAATTCACGATGAAACCACCATAGAAATAGATCAGAAGTTAAGGAACCCCTGCCACCGCCAGCGTACACCACTGGTTGGCTCAGCATGTTGACCTTGCGTAGACAACGTGGTCGCCAGTGGCGGCCGGCCACCAACAATCGTGTCCGATGGTGGCCCTCGTGATCCGCCGCCCCCACCACCCATACCCGCTCGCTGCTCCGCGTCGCGTCGTGACCTCCGACGGTGCCGCCACGCCGTTTACCCGGCAGATCCCGCCAATCCAAATAGCAAACGTGGGCGAGGTAGATTCGACTACGGTCGTAATTCTCCAGAGCACTTCTCAGCCTCTCAAGCGCGGACGAAGAGGACGAGATGTGCGCAACGCCGTGATCGCCACCGTGGCCGCGCGGCGTCGTTGCCGTTCGGCACGACGTGGAGGACGTGGACACGGGGGAGGGGAATGGCGAGGAAGACACAGTGGTCGAAGAGGAGGTCGATACCGACGTCGTCGTTTCCGTCGTTCCATGAGTCGTCTCACCGTTGTCTCGTTTTGTCTCTGTGGCGTTTTGCCTCCGCTTCCCAATCCCGTCGTCGCTGTGATCGGGAGTGCTTCTTTGCCCGCTTCTAGCCGCTGGTTTGATCACCAGCGGATCGCTCGTGACCGACGAGGTGGTGGAGCGCACTGGTGACGAGGTGCTTGACAGTGGGGAGCTCGAACGGCGCGAGGACGCGCAAGAAGACGGCGAGGAAAGCGCCGGCGGCGACGACAACGATGTCGAGGAGCATGAGGCGCCGGCGGTGGCTTTCTCGGTGGTATCTCTTACTGGTCGATGCTTCCTCCCCGCGACTTGTTTCTCCCGTCGTCGTTGCCTTTCCGGATAACGATGCACCGAGGGGGTACCGTTTTCACGGGCTGGCTCGGAGCTGCTCTCCAGGGACTGGCGCATGCGCCCGGTCCACTGCGATCGACCCTCGTTGCACGCCGTCGTTACCGCGGGCTTGTCCATTCTCGTTGTCGCGACTACCATTCCGCTCGACATCACCGTCGATGTTGTCGTCCCCGTCAATGTTGCCGTTGTCATCGTCGTCGTTGTGGTCACCTCCGTCAACGTCGTTGTCGACGTCGCCATTATCATAGTTGCTCCCTCGGTTTCCAGAAGATCCAGAGAGACGTGCTGAGCGCGCACTTGGCGCCCCTTGGTGGCCACTTTGCTGACACGCGCGCACTTGCCGCCGCGAGACGGCATCGCACGATCCAAACGCATTCGCGATAGCCTCACACGAATACATACGCGTTTAATGAGCGTCAAACGAAAATCGACTCGTCGTTGTATCGCGTATCCGGATCACCCGACGGACGTGATGAACGGCGAAACTCGCGGCTGACCTCTGGGAGCTCGCGCTCATCGTGCGAGAACGCGCGCGCGCGCGCGCGCAATCCGCTCATCTACAGCGCGCCGCGCCGACATCGCCTACAACCGAGCGATGACTGAGCGAGCGGCCGCGACGCGACCGTCAAAGGCCGGAGCGGGAACTAGAAGGCTTTGATGTACCGCCGCCCCGGCGCGCACAAAGCGAAAGCGGCCCCGACTCGTTGGTTGGCACGGCATGCGGGGGAGGGGACGAGGCGGCGGGGGAGCGAGGGAAGTCGAAGCGAGATAACAGGAACGCGCGGCCGAGTACAAGTGGTGGTGGTGATGGTGGTGGTGGCGGCGACGGCGACGGAAACGAGACAGAGGGGGCACAACGAGATGAGAGACACGTACAGTCGTCTCCTCATTTGAGCGTCCACGCGTATCTGCTTTGTTTGCTCGTCTTGCTTTGCCTCGTATGAGACTCGCCACATTCATGTCTCACCGATGCGATAGTTCGTGATGACTGTACCCCTGTCGCTTGTCGACGGCGATAAGATAAGCAAATTGTTCGTCTCCGATACTAACTGATATCCGTCAAACGTACAAATTTCTGTAAGAGCACAATGTACAGTTGAGGTACGACGCATTTTGACAATCTTGTGGCAAGACCTCCACGTCTTTATCTCTAACGTTTAAAAATTAGCTTTAACAATGTTTAACAATCAGTATTTTTTTCTTTTTCAACTCACATCTATATAGGTGCTTTCCATTTGGTGACACAAGTCGGCACACGTGTCGATCGTTCTATCTTTGTTACTCACGGAATGTCGACAGAGAAAGACAGAATGCTTGTGTCGACTTGTGTCACCAAATAAAAAGTATTCTACGTTGAGCTACGATTAAAGATTACAGAAACAACGATGTAATGTCTGCTAATGTTACAACTGGTGAGTCTGGAGAAATATACGGTCGCGACCGTGACAATTAGCGAGCACATACTAAACTGTCCCAGCGTAAATCCGAGAAGCCATATGTACATCAACGACAACCAGCTGCTGAAGATCTTGGGAGCGCGAGATCTGAATACGGGCCAAAGTCAACTAAATATACCGATCCATTTGGCCGCATAATGGCGCCCGACGTGTTTGGAGAACGCTTCTGCCAGCTCGCGCGAAACAAGTTAGTCCACAAAGAGACGCAGATTTGTTTCTGCGCTCCAGAGTTAAAAGCGCGGCCTTTTCACTGGTGTTTGTTCAGGCTGTTTATCGCGTGCGCTAAACGTAGATCGTTGACATCCGATCCCATAGCACTGTAATCAGAACGTTCCCAATCGGAAAAACAACGCTTCCGGTAAATTATACTCGCGATTAATCAAACCCATTTCCCGTCTACCATCGCACCCGCGTGACTAATTTTATACAGACAAAGCGAAAATAAACTTTGTATCTTGAATGCTTATACATGTAATACATAGTGTTGTTAACATGTGTGTGTAGGATTATTCATTGGCATTCGTTTCATTAACATCAATTGCAACTTAAAAATATATAATATAATCGATATTTGTTGATTGAAATGAATAAGATAAAAAAATATTATTTACAATAACATTTCATAAAATCTACATGTTTTTTAATTAAAAAATGTCGGGGAGAGATCGAATGAATCAATTATTTATTTTGAGCTCTGAGACTGAATCCTCAAGCTGTTATAATAGCTTGATGATTAGATGCAGCAAAAGCAATTTAGAGCAAGCAAAACGAAAAAGTAACATAAAAGTAAATGAATAAGTAAGTGAGTACTAAAGATTAAAATACTTGATATACATAGAATCATATAGTAGCAACAGAATAATGATAAACATAGAAACGTTGCAACAAGAGTAGAGGAAAAAATTAAAGTCCTGATACACAGCAAGTAATCATAAAATACTGAGTTAAAATGTCGGACAGAGAGAGAGAGAGAGAAAGAGAGAGAGAGAGAGAGAAGATAAATCGTTCTAGGGCTCTGCTTCTTAAATTAAAACAAAGATAACATAGAAAACAGACAATGTACAGATGAATGTACAAAAATAAGAAAAAATTAGTTATAAAGAAAAACATAATGGAAACAATGTATATGTAGACAAGCATAATGAATATTGCAAATATGAAATAAAATAAAAAATAGAGAAAGATAAGTACATTCATAGTACTTGGTGAGTGATACAACACAAGTATAATAGCTAAGTTTAGAGAGATAGATAGATAGATAGACAGATGCAGAGAGAGAGAGAGAGAAGAGGGGAGGAGGGGAGGGGCAAGGGTGAGAAAATGTGAGAGGAAAGAGGAGAGAAAGAGAGCGAGGCGCAACGCTGATTGTGAGATTAATATTACAAATCGGATTTAGCCTTGGGCGCTGGTCGCGCGCATGATTATCGGCGTGTCGGCATTTCATAAACGCGTCCACATCAAACGCAGCGGGTCGGTCGATCGCGATAATATTTGTCACGTAGTTGCGGTACGTGGCGGCAGGCAGGCGTGTGCACCGCGCGGCTGTACGGTAATCGATCGGCTATGCTAGCAGCCAGCCAGCCAGCCAGGTAGGTAGGTAGGTAGGTACTATGTGCGTGATTACTCTCTCAGGTACGTCGCGCGCTATCTACACGCCCCCGGACTTTTAGGCGCACGCCAATAAGCAACAATGCGGTTTGATCCGTTTACCTCCGTCGCGTTGTTGCAATTTGCGATTTCGAGGAAATATCGACATGACGTATGGTCATCTACATTCCGAAATTAATTGAAATACAATGGGCTACCCCAATTTTCGCGCGAAATCGATATACATTGGTGTAAACTGCAGAATTATAAATAATTACGATCACGTGATCTTCTTACTTTAGACTCTACTTTCCAATGTAGATTTGAATCGTGAAATTTAAATTGTTGATAAAACGTTCTTTGCATTTTCTTTCACACAGTTGTCATTACCGATACGATCAATCATTTTATTTGCTTCAATCGTTTGACAAAGCAAGGGGAAGCTTGAAAACTCGAATTTACACAAAGGACATATATTCGTTTACTTAATGTTTTACGACTACACATATATGCTTCTTTTTTATCGCGATTGTATCGGAGCGAGTTTAAAAGTTACACAATCTCGCGTATCAATTACCGCTCGGGGGTCTTATTCTCGAAAAATATCATATACGAAAATACTAGAGAAATGTATGACATACGTAACGTATACTATAGTCGTATACTATTTTCGTACGCGATATTTTTCGAGAATACGGCCCGAGGATGAAAAATAGTCGAGTTTCAAAGCCATGGTCAATATATGCCGCAGCTTTACGCAATATTCGCTAAATATTGGGCTACATTTATATGGATAATTATGCATGTCATGTGATGTGAGTGTGTAATGTTTGCTAATATTAGCGTACATTGGCCGTGTCGTCTAGAACCCGCCTTTACTCACAATACGAGAGCAACGAGCCTATCTTCGTGTATATGTAGCTCTTAATTGGATTATCTATCCCGCAGCACCACCCGTTACCGATAAAACGCATTTCCATGTAACGCCAGCAACCCAGACGGAACATATTTTAACGATAGCCGTATATAGCGACGAGAGACCACTACGTAAGGCATACCTATTTATCAAATCTTTTTCTTGCGGTATCCTTTGTGACTACGACCGAACGCAAATTCGATTCTCTGCACTACTTTCTAATATTTAGTATACCATATTCGGATACACACTGCCAATACTGAAAACCTATAGCATCACATATATATATAGTGACATAAACTATAGATGTTCAGTACTCGTAATGTACATCTGAACACGGCCTTACAATGGGATCATTTCAGTATAATCGAATCATCGTGCAAAAAAATAATTCTAAATTGTAACTTAAAAAAAATGAATAGAATTTGTATGAAATCAAAGGCCCTTCATTTGTATGAAAATTTATATGACATAAAAGGTTCTAGATTGTCTGTAATATTCAACGTGTATTCTTATTCATTAATTAATCATTGCATATATCATGTTGCGGAAAATAATATGCTTATCATATTATATCCAATTTACTGTGAACAGTTACAAAAGATATATTGACATTTATGACTAGAGCACTGATCGCGAACCGAGACCGTTCGTCTCTTCTCTTCTCCGAACCCTTCGTCGAAATACGCGCAACGAAAACTGATACCTTGCGACTGCCGAGAACCGGATACCGGCAGGATCCGACGCGAAACGCGGGTATTATCGATCGCGACTCTCTCGCAGGACGAGCTGCGCGGATATAATCGAATTACCTGGCGAATTTGCGAAGAGGGCGGCCGGAGACCGATTCCAAGTTTCGGATGTTCTCTCTCTTGGTTGCAAGAGCCAAATCGTCAAGAGCAGCCTCTCTCATTTCTCTTCTTCGTCCACGGAGAGAGAAAGCAAGATTTTACCATCGATTTAACCCCCTTCAACCTGCTACCCTTCTCTCCCTCTTTCGTATGCAACAACACGGCCATACGAGTCCTCCACGCGGAAGATCGAATCAGACCCATCTCTTCTTCCTGCCTTTAGTTCAGCGACAATTCGATTCACCTATAGTCACGAAAAAGTGTCAGACAAGA